TCTTTCGGTGCCTTGTTGAAAAAAACAAAGAAAACGCCCATCCCAGTGGCACGTTCATTCCAGGCCGCGGGGAAGGCATCCGGAAGGCCTTGACGTGTTTCTTGTTCATCCGCCGTGACCGCATCGCCACGCCTGAGTCACTGAGACGCGACACCGACGAATTCTTCCCCAGCTTGGCATGGGTGTGGGCCGTGTGTTTGAGGATACCATGCTGGAAATGCAAAGGGAACGTGCTGCTTGTTTGCTTGTTTCTTGTGGTGTGTCCTCTTTTTTGAGGGTACCCACTGTTGGTGAGTCGAAATCGAAACCTGGTACTAAAATGGTCTACCCAGAACCATGTACAGGATTAAGAAGGCGGCCGCTGCTATGTATGGTTGGGATCGTCCCTTACTAACCTTCATGTACCCGGGTTTTGATTGTGGTTCTGGTCGGGTTCAAAGGGAGACCAAACAAAGCCGTTATTTTGAGACAAACATACTCTCAACACAGACCCAGAAAGGAGATGGTCCCCCAACCGGAGGTTCCTCTCAAAAGGATCACCGGAACATACTGGCAACAGTGTAACAAACATGAACTGCAATACCCACTTTTTCAGGAATGGGTTTGTGTTCTTTGGTCGCACCTTCTTTGGGCCTGGTTTAAATGGAAACCAACAGGAACCCCCCTGCCATTGTAGGGATCCAAATCCCTATTTTGCCGCATTCCCATCTATATTTGTCTCCGGCCCTGGCCACTTGGGCGACAAATAAACGCTTCCGACAACAAATAAATTGAGCTGCCGCCTTGCGTATGCCCCTTAGGTGGGGGGAGTCTGCAAATATTAATCCGTTGATGAGGCAAGTGTCCATGTTCCAAGAACAAAACTCGACAGCTCTGATGTGCAGCGTTGTGGCCATTGGCAAAGGTTGTTTGTAACCATGCACGGCTGCAAACACAACCAAATATAGTTTTCACCACAAATACCTTGACCTGACAGAACAACAGTTGACAAATTCATGGGCTCTCAAATCCGTTTGCATCATCAAAACGTTCCGAAAACGACCAGCACACCAAGGTGGCCAAGTCGTGCAAACCAATTTTCTGTCACAAGGAATGTAGCATCTAAGTCATCCCAAACAACCACAAGCAACAGCCCCATCAGCCAAAACAGCAACACAGTAGCTGCAATAACTAAAGCAACCAAGTTCTCGACGGGGACCCCATAGACAGGGGTTCTGAGGCTTTGGCAAAGTTTGTTTCATGACCACTTTGAACATCATTTCAAAGGGAAACTCAATGAACATTGGAGCAACACAATGAAATGTGTCACTGGCAAAGGGACATATTAGGAACCCCAAAAAGAACGTTTTAAATCACGGCTTGCCTCATCCATTCTTTTTGCCCCCCAAATGAGCGCAATATGAGCGCATTGTGATTTGGCGAGAATTGGTTCCAAAAAACCACCCGTGGTGCGTCGGGGAGACAAAGCATTGCCCAGCCGGGATATCACCAGGACACCCGCCCTTCCCAGCTCGATTGATTTTGGCCACACATATAGCAGGGAACCCGGACTTTTGTTTCCCCGGTGAAAAAAATGTTTGCAACCAAAAACACCCGGTGAAACGGGTATTTGTCAGAGGGGGACGCCCAAAACTGTTTCCGTTTCGTGTCCCTTTTATACAATCAACCTGGAAATAAATTCGCTGCATTACCCCTTCAACATCACCCCACCAAAAGTAGACTGAGGCGATGTTTGAAACCACCAACACAAATAAATCTTCACTGAGGCGCTGCTCTCCCGCGTTTCCGGCAGGGAGGACGTGCCCACAAAGTTTGGGCCCATCCAAAGCCGCATCTGACAGGCGACGGTGGTGGCAGAACAGGTCTGGTGACCCGCTGAGTGAATTGCGGATTCTGACCACAGGAAAACTTGGGGATCCGGGCCTTGGTTTTATAAGGGACCGATTATTTTTGGGGTAATTTCACGGGCAACCGCAAAAATAATGTTTGCTTCCTTCTAAAACCCACCCGAAAGGGTATCACCAGTGAAATTGAATTTGTGCTGAAGGCTGAGCCTGAGCCAACCTCGCAAAAAATGCAACCTTCCCAAAAATGATCTGGGGGTACTGCATGGTACTGCAATGATTCTCACGCACTCGCAATAAGTGGACCTGCAAAACCGAACCCTCGTCATGATGCCCAAGGTTGCAAAGCCACTAATATCTGGTATGTGAGGTCGCCAAAACATGCCCAAATAACAAATTTGGAGGATTTGTTTTCTGTCGCTAGTCGAGGCCTGAGGCACGGATAGCTAAGAACGTTTTTTCCAGGGCAGTTCCCTGCCGCCCAAGTGGGGATGCCCGCGCACATGCTTTAATTTGGGTCGCAGCGTCCCTTGCCCCCCACTCCAACTCCGGCCTGGGCCACGGCCGCCAAGAAGAAGGCGACCGCCAGCGCCCGCGACGCCATGCCGAAAACGAGGGCGTTGACGTTTTGGCGTCAGAAGTCCCACCCGGCCGACGCACGGACCGAAGGGCTGCGGATGGTTTTGGACATTCACTGCCTGCCAGCTTGGGGGCCAGGTATCTCAGTTTTGTTCGTGTTTTTGTCAGATAGTTCTAACAGAATATACCATTTAACACCTTTTTATCAGACATTAGTCATGCCGGCAAATCGGTGGAGCAACAAAGATCAGGGTATTCCATTGTTCATTCCATTGACCTTTTGAACTTTGTGGTTAAACATGGCAGGTGCACTCAGACGAACAACACGCAGAAACAACACAACACTTGGAAAAAATGAAACCTTGCGATTTGTGTCCCGCCCTGCCCCCCCCACCCCAAACGGATGTCGGCACCGCTTAGCAGTTCAATCAACAAAACAAACAAATGTTGAAACTGAACACCATGCATGGGAGCTGCTGTGTCGGTCTGCGCAACTGCAGCTGATTCATCGCTGGTAATTCTGGGTTGCGCCTGTACAATTCTGACATCACTTTGGATACAACTGCCTCCTCCAAATCTCTGCCAAATATGTGTTGTGTTGGTCATCTGAAACATATTGTTAGGTGCTCAATTTTGCAACAATGCAACCAATCGCCGATCATGCAGCCCATCTCTTGGACGGAGCAATGAATTACGCAGGTGGTCCAGTTGTTGCACCATCAGATGCCTGGCATGTTTCACTTGGAAGGCACACGGCAATGCTGATCGGAGTCAATCGGCCAGTGCACCCTACACCATCCTATTGCAATCCTGAGTTTTGCCACTCCATGCCTGCGCCCAACTTTTGAATGTTGAATGGGGCCGGAATTAATCGGTCTGAGAATGCGATTTTCGAGGGTAGACTATGCCATAAGCAAGGTCTCCATTTCTGCTCAAAAGGATGGTTGATTTGCCCAAACAACGAGAACCTCCCGGGCTTGCCAAGGCCATCCGCGGGAACACTGCAAGAAGGCCTGAGCCCCCTCCTCGGTGAGTGCCTGTCGCTTGCGAACAGCGCCCCTATTGACCTGCCTGATCGCACTGACTTGGGCCAGAAAATAAAAGGTTAACCTTTTGGAACCTTGCCTAAAACTCGGAGAAGCACAAAGGGCTGAAGGGTCAGCTTTGGACAAACTCACTTTTGTCGTTCAGAAGGAAAATCCGGATTCTTGATATGATTCTCGGCCATGAGCCTTGGGATATGGAGAATGGCATTCGCCCTGGTTGCCTTTCGTGGATACCTTCCCTGTGCAAGGGAGCGGGGACAAACGGAGACACTTTTGCGGCCACCTGTCACTGGACCGAAAACCACGGACTGACAGACCGACACGACAAACATCCACAAACCACCTGAGCCTGTTTTGAAGTGTGTTTTTTGTTGGATTGATGATGTAAATGCCATGTTTGAAGCAGAGGCGCGGACCTCCTGCCCGCATCAAGGGGGGGCCTGCGATTCAGCTTGGGCGCCCAAAATATGCACCCAGCCCCCACCCCTGGCATATCCAGAGCTTCCTAGTTGCCCTCTACAAAAACTCGGGGTTCAAATCCCCAACCACCAATGAGCAACCAATCTGGGTGAATCATAATATTGCACCAACCTGAAATAAGGTGGTTAGGGGGCTATCCCCACATAAACCACCATTTGGGGTGAATTCGGTCGTGATGTCGTTTTTTCTTCACCCAGACTGAAGAAGGGTTACCTGAACTGAATTCGGCAACTCGCCTTGACGGGCCAGTGCGGCTTGGTGAACTTGTCGCTTCCGTTGTCCTGCCCGAAGCGCTTCCGCGGGTCGCAAAGCCAAAGCAACCAAGCGTGGGGCGGAGTCAACCAACATGCGGCCGCCGGGAACTGGATTTGAATAAGAGCAGCCAAGACCCCCCCAAAAAAGAAATCATGAGGGGTGGCTGGACAACCAGAACAAAGAGATCCATACTTGTTTGGCGTGTCTAAAGAATACTCCACAACAAGCTCAATCAGCAGCCCTGCCTTGGCCCCCCAACGTAGCTTGTGATTTTGTTCCATGTATCTAGTCTACCGAACATCGAGAATCTGATTTGGAGAAACCGCCTCCCAAAAGCGCAAACCCAAGCGAGGCAATGGTGAGGCACAACCGTGCCCCCGCCGCCTTGCCGCCGCCCACCGGGAACTTCACAAAGTTCGTCCTCAGAAAAGCTCGCGGAAAAGTTAAGTCCTTTGGGCAAGCTCATCCGGCCTGCAAAAGTTAGGTTGTTGCTTAAGCGTCATGCGTCGGATTGCCGTCGGGTCGGATTAAGAGATCAGTACCCAAGCGCTGGTCGCATGTGAGGCACCTCACCGAGGGAGAAACAAAATGGAAAGAGCGACCCGAGAATGGTCCGACAAAGGAAACACAAAAGGGAGGCCTTTGGCCTGCAACGGTGGAGCCAAAAGGCAACACCATTTTTGGTGGACGAAGGGCCATGCAAAATGTGGGCCCCCCCCCCGGCCCAAACACTACGCCTGGAAGGCAAACCCGCGCGAACTGACGAAAATGGAGCCGGCTCCGCGCCGAGGTACCTGGAATGCAAACAACTGAAAAAAATGCGACCTGCCGATGGTCTCATAGATGCACCAGATTGGATCCGCAAAGAAAAACTCGGGGACACCAGAGACACAGTCTTCACGAGGCATCTGAATCAGGGTCGCTGCTGGAGCAAACCCAGCGAAGTCAGTCAGCTGCATATCGTTGAGCACAGGCTGACAGCTGGCGAGGTAAGCCACGAATAACGCTCGTTGCCTGATAAAGGCGTTCCAGCAAGGCGAAGGTCAGAAGTAGATCACAAACCATCGGTCCTTCGGAGGAAATAATGGCATTGCAAAGGGATTCTCAAGCAGGAAACACAGTAAGTACATTGCCTTATGTCAAAGAAAGCATTGCTTAGCACGTGGAACCGCAATCCGGGGTCCGATCAAACGCAAATCCCTCTGCAATTGAGTTTGTTGGGTTCCAGTTCGTGTCCAGATTTGCTCAAGGTGCACAACATTCACCAAATTCACCTGTCGGCCAAATTACTTTGCAAAGCCAGCGGCTTTTGATCGCACCCACCAAAGCAAATGAGAACTCGAGTGCGGCCACTAAACACCTATACACAGCCTGGCGCCCAACTCCGCCCAAGTTTGCAACCCAAAGCAGAGTGAAGGGACACCAGCTCTTTTTAAGCCCTTTTGAAGGGTGCTAAAGTGAGACCTTTCAAGCGCGGATGGACAATTTCGCACCGCTGGGGATTCATGAAGCCCTATACATCTATACATGCGCGGATAAACCAGATTTCCCCAACTGCCAAGTGCTGCGTGGCGCGGATTTGTCTATCTTAATGTTGACCCCGGATTAATAAACCCCTGTTTATTAGTATGGGGCGGTGTGTGTCCCTGGGTTTAGTGGAGATGTATCACTTTTAGAGGGGAACACCCCCATATTAATAAACAGGGGGGTTATTCATCCGGGGTCAACATTAAGGCCTTCGGGCCAAACAAGGTCTCCGGGATCGTGGCACCGAGTCCCCGGCCGCAGGTTCATGGGATTGAAGCAATCCAAGCCCGTGGAGGAGCAGCAGGTCGTGGCCGCCACGCGATTCTTGTACGCACCTAGCGGGGGTTCCGGGGGGGGGGGGCATCATTGGGACCAGCATGGTCCGAAACAGTCCAAACGGCCCAAATCGGTACGAAATGGCAAGACCCAGCTATGAGACAGCACGACACAAAGTGAAGCCAACCAAAGTGCGCGGACACATATCAATTGGTGCTACTGCAAGGCGGAAAGGGGTCGGGGGCCAAGCCTTCCCACACCAAGGAAAAACACCTCCGAACACAGTGGACGCAACTGGAACATTAAACCAAAGATGACCGGATTCCCAAATCAAAGGCCAACTTGATTTTGCCGGTGGGTTCAAGCATATTACTTCGAAGACTCAACCAAGTCCGACATCTCCCTTCCGTTCGAGTGGCTTGGCCAAAAAAGTCATGTTTTTGCCTTGGTCTTCCCAACTCGAAAGAAAAACATGGAAGACCAGTTTTTTGTTTTTCTGAATCGAGTTGGATTCCCACATAGACCATCGTGGCTTTGGCTCGTTTTGCCAGAGCTTGAAACCCATGAAGTCTGCAGATCGGGGTGGCTTCCGTTTCAGTGAAACACCGGGAGCTTCTCCCGACGGCCGAGGGCAGGGCCGTTGGTCAGCAGGGAGCACTTCTTATAGCACCTGAGAGCCGCGGTTTGGCCGCGGCTTAGCCCCGGCTTGGCACGTGCGTCAGGGTCAAAATGACCAACTCCCCTTAGGCCCTTAAAGGACGTGGGAGAATACATGTCCCGAAATTGTGACCGCACCTCACATGCTCTCCTGCTTTTGTTCTTGTAGACCACTTCAGTGGAAATCCCCAAATCAACCATGCAGGCTCCCATGAAAATGGAACCCAAAGTGGTCGGTGTTTCCCTTTCCTCCTGCTGTTTGGTGGGTTCAGGATCTAAACCCGATGAATTCCAAGAGGGTCCCCTCTTGCTATTGCCGCTGGGCATTTGGGGAACGCGGCAGGCCCCTGGAAGTTTAGATGGCCATGTTCATTTTAAAGGTACCTTCGAGCTGAGGAAAACATGTATCCACATGAGTTTGACCAATTCCTCCAGGCCGCCGGTGTGGTAAACCTGACCTGTGAAGCAAACGTAACCTTGCATAGGTTTCCAGTTAGGTCATTTTGGTTGAACATAGATGGCAGCAACAAAAAAATGGACAGCCTCCCTTCCTCTAGGCAAGCAATCTAGGTGAACTGGTATCTGGATCACCTGGGACACCCCTCATTAACAAAGGCCCTTACACTATAAATCCCGAAATCACCGGCAACAGCGCCTTTGAAATAAAACCCAACATTCAGTAACATGCATGCATCCTTTCTGCGGAACATTCCCCCCAACCCCCCCCCCCGTTCAAGCAACCAAAACCGATCAACCAAAACTGCATCCACCGGGTAAACCAAGAAAGCCTCCACCAGCTCCTCGCTGTTTATCGTGTTGCCGGGCCCGGGGCATGCCCAGCAGTAGCTCCTCGTCCTGAAGGGACAACTTGTTGCCTGTTGGATTGGATGGTTTTGGTGGAGGCGAAAGGGCTGGTTTCCCATTTTCCCTCCACAAAAGCCCGGGCTTCCAAACCACCAATTAAGGATTGCCTCACAAGGGTTCTCACAAGTGCCGGTCTTAGAGGGAATTCACCAAAACATGAAACAGGAATGGTGACAATGTCGTCACAAGCAAGATCTTTTCAAAGAAGGAAGGACTGGCCAACCCCTTTCTGACGCAACAAAAACAACTCGAAGGGAACACCGTGAAATGCATCCTAGGTGTTTTCCTTGACGTTGTAAATTGTGCTTCTCCCTTTGGTCTACAGCTACCCTAATGGTAACCGGAAGCACTGGGCAGGGCTGCGACAATTCCCTTCATACTCTTTCCGCGGAAAACAGCGGCATGCCCATGTTACTCAAGGGTATTCCCGTCACAGAACGTACCCGCATTGTGCTTGCTTTACATACCCAAACGAGAGGGTATCTTTGCGAATCTGCATTCTCTATAGAAGCAGCCGTCGTCTTCCACAAGGGATTTATGCACCAAACAACGACGGGACGGTATCCCTCAGTCCAGTTTTCCAGGGTTCTCGAAAAGATGCCTCCGACCAATTGCCTTTCCAGGGGATCCTCCAAATCAGCTGAAGGTTGTTTTTTTTGCCTGCACACCTTCGGTGAAGCCCCTTGCCCGCTTCAATGATTGGTGGGAATAGGGTAGCGATTGGTTGCTGGTGCAACAAAGAAATCGATTCATTTACCAGTGCTCGCCCGCTGCGGTAAGAGAGAACGCCAGCAACGCCACCAAACACATGTTTTCTGATTCTGCCGCATATTCGGAAAATCGGCTTGACCAACAAAATACCCTATCCCTTCTACCCTAAACTGCATTGTAAATACCCTATCACCACCATATGGCTATGAATTCTAATTAGATTGGACCCTTTGGTGGACATCATTTAGGTGGGGACTTATGTCCACCAACCACTTTTGAGGGGTTCCCCATCAAAATTCATCAGCCTAACAAAATGTGAGAAATCGCGGGATCAAAGACGAGCCCAACCCAGTCCTCCAAGCAGGTGCCGATGCCGTGAGGGCACGCGCCCTCTTGCCCGTTCAGGCTGCCCGCCACGTCGAAGCCCGAGCACGGGACACTCGGCGAGCAACGGATCCGGTGGAGCTGGGGGGAAACGAAAGTCAGCTCCCCTCCAACCGGTGATTTGGTGGCTTGGTGGTTAAGAAGGAATAACCCCCATTCACCATCTAGAACCGGGGGTTCAAATCCCAAACCACCAATCCAAATCACCAATGAAGGGTTTCCTGAGAATGGTGTCCCTTTCAACCTGTTGACAAATAACCTCCCGCCCTATGAACCACAGGATCCTTGTCCCTTTCAAGCACCTTTCGAAGAATAACGTACAGCCCCTTCTATGAAACACACGTAGGTCCGAATGGGGTCCCTTTCAAGCACCTTCTGGTGGACTTGAACCCAGGGGTAGTGTTGTTCCCCGAAAGGGGTCAACCACAATAAGTGCCGTGAAGGACACAGCCAAAGACGTTTCAAAAACAAAGCAAAAAAGTGGATCCCCAGGCCTGAAAAGGACACCTTGCCATGTCATTGGCAAGGCCCGTTGATCAGGGCTCTGTAGAGAATGTATTCAAAAAACCGCCTGATTAAGATCTCCTAAATTGGTTGGAAAAGGTACATGCATGCCTTGAGGGACCCTGGCAAACATGAGGTCTGGACAAATCATGAGTCACACAGCCATCTGGCCAAATCGATTGAATTTCCCAAACCGGAAATAAGGGAGTAAAAAACATTTTTTCTGGGTGAGCTAATAAAGATTTTGCGCAAATACATGCCCTTTCCTCCGATATTTTGCCAAGAAAGCCAGGGGAACACTAACATTGTCGGTCAGAAGTCTAAAAATAATAGACAGGTCAATGCTCCGGTCGAATCCTGTGGAAGGAAACTGCAATCTGCTGGCTTTAAGAGCCCTGTTTAACGATGATCAAACGCCATTTGGCCCCGAGGTTCAAGCCAAGGCTCATAGGTTTCGCCTTTTGAGCCCCAGAATGTAGGTACCTTCTTCAAGTTCTTCGCTGTCTTTCTTCAAGTAGTAGTCCTCTTTGGGCTCAAGGGGAGGACCTATGTGGGTTCATTCACGTCTAGCTGACCTTTTCTAGATCCTTTCGTTCTTGTTTGGCTCAGCACAGGAACCAAAATACAAGCTCAAGCTGAAGCAATGGGCTTGGAACTGGTGGGAAAGGCCTTCATACCGATCTCAAAGCCAAAAAAGAGTTGTCCACTGGAGCCATGGTCCAAATTGCTTGGTCGCCTGGCAGGGAATTCTAAAGCTCGCCCCCCTGTCCTTCCATTCCAACTGGATATGTGTGTTTTGCTCCTTTGGCGCCAACTCCGGTTGGTCTCCTTTCAAGACTTTGGGTTTCCTTGAACTTGGCTCTCAGCAAGCAATCAACAGGAATAAACCGGGTCCCTCATTCTGAGAAATCTCAAAGAATCCGGGGCCTTTAGGGCCCCGGACTTGAGACTCACCTTGGTGTTGTCGAAGCCGCAAGGCTGCTGCTTACAACCTCCGGGCGTATCTTCACCCCGTTTCTCAGTTGCCTAAAGGACCCGGAAATAGAAGATTAACCTTTGGGGCCACTAACATGGGGACACTAAAGGTCACAAGCTCAATTCGCTTTGGACCACCGAGGTAGGTGGACAATGGAAACCCAAACCTATGGCTGTGGAGCCAACCTATGGGGCAACCAGTGATCCAAAAGAATACGATCATGATCCATTCCTGCTTGCGGTTTGCCAGCATTTTACAAGGGGAATCCACCAACGAAAAGAAACCATACGCCCTTGCATTGACCTCAGAAAGCATGGCAGGAACCAGATCCCCAGAAAGACGGATGACCTATCCGATCCGTCGGGAACCTGTTATGCCCAAGAATCTGGCTGATCCCCTTCCAGAAGCAGAAAAAAAATGAATGGACCCCCTCTACCCACTTGTAAATGAAAGCACAGCTGAGCTGAGGTGCCTTAAGCCCCGCTTACGGAAGTGAACGAATTGGGCTAGGGGGGAGGTTTCGGGGGAGGGCGGTTGGGATCAGCGATCTCATTATCACAATGTCCTTCCAAGGGCCCCTTTGAAGATGGCCTCACCTACGCACAGGACCAGGAAAACGGGGTCCTTTAATTGTTCTTAACAGGGGGTAAGGGAAGCTCCTTTTACTTTCTCTTGGAAGGATAACATGAGTTTTGGCAAACCTTTCGAGATCTTGACTGCCAATCGCCGCTCTCCCCTTCTTATTTTGAGCGGGCGCTAAGCCCAAAGCCCCAAACCCTAAGCAACCAGTTTCTTTCGGCATCCCAGTCCAGTCTTGGTTTGCTGACCTACGCTTTTGGCTTGAGGTACCAAAGGGGAAATTTGCCCAGCTCTGATGATCAAAGGCTGAGTGCTTGATGTGCAAGCACGTTGCAATGGAGGACCTCGTTGGCGGCCGGTGTCCCACGACAAAGCCATTAACATCAATCAATAACGGGGCAGATATGGGAGTGTCTTTGAAAAGGGACCCCCGCAAAATGGGTGTTGTCCTTTCGGTTTCCCTTTAAAAACCAACCAACGGGGGTGCCCTCAATAAAAATACCCATATGGGTTTGCACAGAAAGTTGCGCTGGGTACACAACCAGAGGAAAAACATGCAACATGTCGGTGCCATGTTTGTTTTAGCTTGAGGAACATGAACATGTCTTGCCTTTTGGCACCAAGCACCCCCTCCCTCGACCATTTGCCTCACGGGGGGTGGGGAGAGGGGGCCGCCTTGTTTATGCTGAGGTATCGCGGTCTCTGGGTGCGGTTGGGTTTGCCATCTGGCAGCGACAAGCCCGGGCATCCGGACAGGTAAAGGCGCTGGTCCGGATGGGGTGAGTGCTCTGCGTCAAGAGCGAGCACCTTGGGGCTTGTCGGGGTCCAGGGTGTCGGTCGTCCGCCCGCTCGGGCTAACTTGCTGAGAGGATTGGCCAAAAAGGGTCCAAACCTCCTGTTTGCCAATTTCCCCCCCAAAAAATATATATCTCAAGTCCAGAAACTCGAGGGAGTTAGAGTTCTTGGACTCCCCTACGGATGCCTCCGAAAACAGGGGCACTCAAATCAAATCGGAACGTGCCCTGTACAGTGCTGTACAGTGCACCCTCCGTCCCTGGTCAGAACGATTAAGTCGCACGTCACAACTTAGCTAATTCTGTCTCTTTAACCGATGTCATTGACCTGTCATGAAAAACACAACACGTATACGAGGGGAGGCCATTTGAGTCCGACATCCCCACACTCGACTCCCAAAGGCCGGATGGAGCTGAGGCCTGAGCTTCAAGTAGCACAGCTCTTCGAAGTACCTTGGAAGCCAACTGGGATGGATCGAAAGTTTGTGTCACAGTCTTCTCACAGTCTGGGTGTGTCTCAAAACAGGGGGCACCAGCAAAGAGCAGTGAAGCCAGCTTTGCACCTTGCAAAGAAGACCCACCCAGATTGCTTCATGAACGCGATGGCAAGATACAAGGCGCCCTTGGCAAACACCAGCTGTCCTTGGCCATGGCCACGTACAGTGCAACAAACATCTTGCAGCTACAAGCCCGCATTGGTGGGCGGAATTGGTTGCGCAGTGGGTAGGATCAGGATTTCCCCTGCTCATCAAGGTTTGCGCACTTTGTCTTCTCCCCACATGTTCCTCTTTGAACATCAACAAACAAAAGAACTTGCTTTAAGTTCCGCGCCTAAAAGGAAACATATTCCGGACACCTGCACAACCACCAAATCATTCAAAGGGGAAATGGGCCTGTCTAAACATTGTGTTTGTTTCTCTCAGTTTCCTTCAGAAAAGACATGCACGCCCAAGCAGCATTTCAGCAGGCGAGCTTGCCGTAGTAGAGAGAGAGGGAAGACAGAGGCTGAGAGAGAGAACAAGAAAGAAAGAAAGAAAGAAAGAAAGAAAGAAAGAAAGAAAGAAAGAAAGAAAGAAAGAAAGAAAGAAAGAAAGAAAGAAATAATGAAAGAATCAATGAAAGAAAGAAAGAAATAATCAACCAAATAATCAAAGGAGAAACATCCCAACTACCTTCCATCCAAGCCGGGCAAGTAAACAAGCATGACTCACAATCCTGGCAGAACAAGCTCATTCCTTTTTGAGATGAACCTTCATTCCTCGTGCTCTCGCTGGTAGGCCTGCGCCTCTCTGAAGCTTGAGCTTGAATCCAACCACTCTTGAGAAAACCGACCAATCAACCAACCATTCCAACAAACCAAACCAACCCACACGAAACTAACAAACACGGAAAAGAAACAAAACAAAAACAAAAAACGGCGGCTTTGGAAAGCGTCGGATGCCAGGTCCCACGATTCCAACTGAAGTTCCTGGCTCTTCATCATCGCCGCATGGGTTGCCGTCATGCATGTTCCTCAGAGGCATCTGTAAATCACAGCGGTTTTGAGTCACAATCCAAACCTGATAATCACTGAAGTCTTTCTTTTTCCGACCGGGTAGCACTTCTGCCCATACTAGAACACAACATTTCCTGTTCGCAGCCCCATGGGGCCAAGAGTTTTGGTTACCTTGTGAGGAGCCTGAAAAGTGGAGTGGCGCCCCTCATTGGTTACAACCGGTTGCAGCCCCCTGTTTTGGCTGCAAGCCCTGCCCACCCAAAACCAGGCTTCCAGGAAATCATTGTTTGGTGAGGGTAACCACTGCCAATTGGCATACGCATTCAGGACTAATCTTGAACAATTCAAATGAGGAAAGAGCAGAAACAACTAGACTCCTCTATAAAGGGAACAAATCGCAAGCTCCCAATGAGGTTGCTAAAAACTGATGAGATTGCCGCGTTCCGAAACTGCAGGCAAGCTGGCCTGACTCACAATTTGCCCAGCTGCAGCCGTAAGAAACTATTCAGGTGGCTCCAGCGCACAGCTTCGGGGTCTGCACGGGTGCAGCGTGAAAAGAGACACCCAAGGCTTTCGAGCAGGTAGGCCGGCATTGACATGTGAAGGCTCAAGAGTCAGTGATGTTGGTAACAGTCACTCAAGCGATCTCTGTTCATGGAGGAGTTGCATAGCCAGCTTAGCGGCGAAAGCACTGCTCCTTCATATTCCTTCATGCCAAAGGCCACTGTTGTCATGTTGTGTAAGCAGACGTAGGCTGCAAAATTCAGAAACCACACCACATAGTGCAAGTATATCTCTGGGTTCGTTCATGTCGCTTGCGTACGCCCGGGAATTGAAGCTGCTTGGCCCCAACAAGTCTTACCAAGCTGCAGCCAGACACAAGTTGAAAAACTGAAAAGTCTAAACTCCCTCAGCTGTTGCTCGAAACCAACAAATATGTTCTTAGATTCCGGCCAACACTTCGGACATCTGAGGAAAAGAAAGCCCAGACCCCGGAGGCCACGGACAAAGGGTAGGCTTGTTTTGATAACTTGAAAGGGCACCCCCCCCCCCTCCCCAAAACAAGTTGAAAAAGGGAAGCACCTGATACGTGCAGGGGGACTGGACCAAACTGGAAGAGCTGGGCACTGGGCGTCTGGGATTTGTGTCCAGTCGTCACCCCTCCAAATCGCTTGAGGGGAGCCTGAGATGTGCCTTTGTTTTAAAGGTGACACCCCTGACACGTTGCTTCAACGGGGTTGTCCGAGGTGATGTTCCGGCCGCTTCGGGTGATCAAATGACCCATTCACCGCTTCGGGCCGCCGGGCTCCTCTGGGGCCTCAGAGAAGCCGGCGGACATCGCGGAGGAGCTGCCCTTAGGCAGCTGGCCTGGCGAGAATCTGTTTGGACCTTCCAAGTGGCCCTGGTGTGTCTTAATACATAGATATGCCAGTGACTGCAATACTTCGTGGGTCCAGACTTCGCGTTTGGCTGTGCCGCTTCCTTGTTAACTCGTTATCCTTTTGTAGCACGCCTTGTGGTTGCAGAACAAGTAGTCTCCTAGTCTGGCGGGTTTCCTGGTACCGTCCAAAACATCTCCGAGTTTGAGGCAGATCCCTGGCTGGGGTGTGTGTCTTGTTTTGGAGACCGTTTTTCTTTTGGGTGGATTTAGAGGGAAGCCCTTTGGGGAAAAGCGCGAACACAAAGGTTGGCTTGGGGCTTGGTGAGTGGGGGTAGGGTTTTGGTGGCCTCTGTTCTTACAGGGGTCCAACTATACATCAAACTGTCTGCCTCAGCAGGTGCTTGATCGGGAAAGAATAGCTAGCATCGGATTTGCCAAGCATATCACACATATAAGTATTATAGCTTGTGTGTGCGGCAAGGTGTTTGGAAAGCAAAATGTCTGGGATTGACCTATAGCATTGCCAGTAAGAACTGGCTGCATGCTTTTTCGCGGCTGGTTGATTCCGTCATACCTACTCAAGAAGAGTGTTCTTCCAAAAGTTTGAGATTGGCGAAACTGGGGTTTCTAGATGAACTGGACAAATGCATGAGCCAAAACAGCAACCTCATTCTGAGTGCGGAGTTCTTTACACAACTTTTGCCAACGCAACTCGCAAGCCGTGCTGTTCATGGGCAGGAGCCAAAGGAAAAGGCAACCCTGTAAGGGGGAAAACTCCAAACAAACAAACATCGAGGCCTTAGTCCCTCCTTTCGCCTCCACCCTCCAAGTTGTATAGTAAATAGCTGCCAGGCAAGGTGACAAACAACCCATGAACGCCCCTGCTGGTTTAACATGGAACCTGGAAAGCTATCCCTTTTAGAGGGATCTGATTTGGGGGACCCTTTGGGCATATGCTAATCAGCAGGGGGGTAATGACGCTAGCAAGCAAACTTCAGAGAATCCCTAAGTGCGTGCGAGACCTTCACTGGTGAGCTTGTTGTGAGCTCATTACATTGAGCGCATTTCTTTGGCACTGCTGTGTGCACTTCTAGGTGCGGCCCCGTTGCGTGCATCTTAGATCAACGGAGATGTGCAGTTGCTCTGCCACTTGCCTGTTGTTGGCCTGGGGTGCGCCAAAATCATATCAGATTCATGCCAACTTCATAGAACAAGCCTTTGCTGAGGAGAGGTTCAAGGAACCAGGGGATGCCACATATATTTTGCAATCAGCTTGATACTGTTTGGTTTTTGTTTGCAAGCGCATGGCTTGCAAAGTCAATTTTGGTTCGGTCATCCCCTTACCTCAGTTGCTTTCTGCTCCCCTGCTAAAAGTTTAACTTTTAGTCAGTGGTTTAATGGAAAACCCACTGGTTGGAAAAAAAGTTCAAGTCCTAACATCCAAGCAAAATGCACCAAAGTTACCCACTGAGAATTGCGCCATCCACATGGGCCAAGGGATGGACATCACCGGCCAACTGCGCTGGGCCGGCCGTTGAAGAGCCAGGCGTCCAGGTGCTGGCCAAGTGCCGAGGCATGCCGAGGCATTCGTCCGCCGAGTGTTCTTTTTTTGTCTTTTGTGTGTGTGTGTGTTGTTTATTCAGTTGCTGTTTCTTGCTTTTTTGAGGGGGGATGGGGGGGGAAAGGGGGGATTCGAGTTTTTGTGTTCTTCTCTGTTCTCTTCTTGTCTTTTTCTTTTTCGCCGGGGGGGGAGGGGGGGAACGATTCTTCTGGTTCCAGTTTTGTTCAAGTTCCAACCAAGTCCCTTGCTTCATACGAGGGCTGCCTCAAAACTGGGGGACCACAACAAGGGTATATCCGTTTAGGCACGTCAGTTTTGGGGAATTACCCGTCTGGGTCCATATTAGTAAGACATCCTCAACATGACCTGAGACAAATGGCGGTTCCCCAACCAAAGGTTGAGAAAGGGTCATTCAACATGCCACCACTTGAAGGGACCCAGTTCAACTGCCACTGCTCTTCCCCCATTCTTTCCAGGGATCCTGCTTTGGAGTTTTCACACAAAAGCTGGCGAACATGTCGTGGCCTTGCTCCAAGGAACCATGGCTGAACCGAAATGGATCGACCTTTCAGAATCAAATGAGTAGAGCTTCTGGACAAATTGCGCGTTCCAGCTTGTCCTGAGTTGCTCCTCGACCCTTTCAAAAGTTAAACTCCCTGCTAATAGAGGGGAAGCTATCATTTTGCACAAAGAAGAATCAAGTTGAAGAGCACACCATGTGGCCTTGGGCAGGTATTTGCAGAAGTTCGAAGTCGGTGCGGGAATTTAAATATGGACACGCGCAAAACCTGCAAAGAGCAGAGAAAGCATGGGAACCTAGATGGTTCACCAAACTGGGTGGGGGCAGCAGGAATCTGCCCTTTACAACTGAACTTCCTTGTTAGGTTTAAGCCATCCAAAAGAGCACATGTCGGGAACCCACGGGTTGTCTTCGCAGGTCGGCCGCACTTGGCAAAGTGGGAAACAAGCGCAGTTGGTCGAAACATGGCACAACTCACTCGTGTTGGTTTCATGCCCTTCAGCCCAAGGGAATTGCGCCATCTACTTTCCCCCAAGCCCCCAAAACAAGAACCCGCCCAGAACATGCCAAAACCCGTGTCATCTCTCTGGCTTGTGCGCCTGGTATTTCTTGCTCACGGAGCTGAGGTCCTGCGATACAGGAGGTGGCGGTTGGGGATACTACCTGCTCTTACTTTCAGGCTCGATACCCTTTTCAGGTTGAATCGATTCAACCTGGGTGCTTTAGGAAGAAGGTTTGGAAATGGTGAACGTCCCGGCTATTGCTTTTGCAACTCGGAAATTAAGGGCTACTTAGCAATCGAAATGAAAGCCAAAAGTGGGCAGCCACCAATTCGGGTTTTTCTCACCCCCCAAAATGACACATATATTCAGCTTCGTGGTTTGGATTGGCGGTTTGGTGGTTGGGTGGATTCCAACATTTACCCTCCACAAGAACAGGGGTTCAAATCCCCAGACTACCAATCCACACATGCCACACGAGCTCGCCTCAGACTCCCCGAGGGCACCCGTTTAGATTTGCCATTTGAGCGGTTCCCAAAATAACCTTTTTGGGCGTCCATCTAACTTCAGCCCCTTACCTTGCTTACGCAAGGAGAAACTGCAGCTAGCTAAAGATAGCTTTTGTGAAAAGGCAGTTCACCATTTTGAGGAACACCCGCATTGAACCCTACCATAAGTAGAGGATTCTCTTTTTTGGGGACCCCTTTTTTGGGCATGTGAATTTGCGGGGGGGGTAAGGCGCTTCGGCCCCAACACGGTGAATGCCCGAAACAGCGGCAGCAGAATTCACCCCCACAGTCTGTGGCGAGCTCGCCATGAGATGCGCGACGCTATGGTCAATACCAGGGTGATCCTGGCCCTACCTGAATTACTGTCCTTGCCTGCTTTCCATTTTGTGAAGATGCCCACCCGCCCATTTAGCCCAAAGAAGCAAAGAAGGGTTTTCCTTGTATTTTTTCGGACGCAGCCACCGGGAAACAAAGAACCCATGCAAAGCAGCCCATGCAAAGCAGCCGACTAGCCTGTTCTGTGGACCTCGTGTTACGCATGTTGTGTGGAATCGGCCTTCCCTATGAAATGATCATGTGATGATGCTCATTTAAATATTGGGGGGGAGCCCAAACCCTGGCTAGTTTCCTGGTTGCGTCACCCAAGGGGTTGTTGGAGCTGCAGAATGTTGCCACCAAATGGCCAGTTTAGTGACTCGGTGAGAAAGTGGGCTCTTTTTGCGAACTGCGCAAGGAAGCCAGGCAAGAGCTGCGTTGTGAATAGCAACCATATACTTGTCTATTTACTCAAGGGAACCCAATAGGGATGGGTTATTGTCTTTTTCTTTTAGACCCCTCCTCCGCACCTAGACAGGTGACCCCGCCGTGAAGGGTGCGGGGACCTCCCTGATTGGCTAGAGACTTGATTTGGCGATATATTGTCCGTCCGCCATCCCTAACCAGCTTAAGCCCAAGGGGGTGCCTTTTATTGCAGATAATTTACAAAATTCATACTTCCCACATCTATGGCCTTTTGACCCTGGCATACGTGTGTTTCGTCCTCAACGCGAGACATGGTGCCCCTGTTGGCTGCAGCAAATACCTCGGATTCGCGAGAATCCGAGGGTCACAAGGTGGTGTCACAAAATAGGTGATCCCAAATGGTTGATGTCCTTTGCTTCCCTTTGAAATTGCCCCAAGGAGTTAGAAAGTTAGACATCCTGACAAAGAACAAAAGGGCTGTGAGCCTGACATTCCCAGTTGAAATGACGAAACCTCCATGCGGAAATTATTGATCATGGATGGAATCCCAGTGTTCAACCAGTCCGCCACTGCTGAGCGCGACATGACCAACAACCCACCAACCAAACAAGCCACCATGCAACCAACCAAACAAACACACAGCCAATCAGTCAAACAATCAAACAAAATGAATCAAAGAAAAAAAGAAAGAAAGAAAGAACAAAAGAAATACAGAAATACAGAAAGACAGAAAGAAAGAACGAAAGAACGAAAGAATGAAAGAACGAAAGAACAAAAGAACAAAAGAAAGAAAGAAAGAAATGAAGAAAGAAAGAAAGAAAGACAGAAAGACAGAAAGAAAGAAAGAAAGAAAGAAAGAAAGAAAGAAATAACAAAAATGGAAGCACATACAACAATACAAGCCAAACAAACAAGCCAAGCAAACAAACAATCAAACAAACAATCAAAACCAAACACACCAAGCCAAACACGTCATATCCATTGACCAATTCTGACGCTAGGCCCTGTACGGTCATCGTCACCAGTAAGAAGGCGGCAAGGGTCGGCCACAGCCTCAGGCCTGGCCCGGACCGAGACGGAAACTGGCTGTAGCCCCAGGTGGAAGCTACCCGCCCCACCCCCCAGGTTCTATAGGACAGCTCACATGAGATTGTGTCACTAGGACTTCCTAGGATTTTTGTCAAACAACTACATTCAGACACACCTCTTCATTTTTGGGTCCTTTTCACACCGAAGTCATCATGAGACCCATTGCCGAAGTCTCCATGACCGTTCAACAATGGCCCCACCCCCGTATCTTGAATAACTACCCGATTTGTTGGAGGGCCAGACAAAAGGACGATCCGCCCAAAGAAAACCCGAACCTGATCGCATCGCCCTTCAGCGCACCTCTGGCCGAAGTTTCGGGCACATGGTGCTCCTGGCCCAGACCCGACGGAAAACTTGGGAGGCTCGGCATGCAACTACGCTGCCAGTTGTTGGCGGTGTCGCTTTTGAGCCTGTTTCGGCAACCCCGTCTTTGAACCACACGCTGTTTCAGCTGAAGGCCAACATTGGAGCATCGTTGAAAGCCCGGCTTCGGGCAGCTTCTTGGCTTCCCTGACGAAAGGTCTGATTGGCAGCAGTTTTGCCACAGCGTGCTCAGGACTTGAGCAGCAAAACAAGCGGAGGGGAGGGCACAACAAGTTAATTTTAATGACTTGTTGCATTTGTTCAAATGTTGCACCTGCAGCCAGGATGAGTGCTAAACAGGCGGGGAACAACAAGCAAATACACCATCCCGTCCCACTTGGGGTTCGTGCACAGGATGCCTTTTCCATCAGCGCCCCAAAGCCTTCAAACTGGCCAATTGAAGGGCCACTCTTTGGCAGCAACACCTTCAACACCAGGCAAACACTCAGGATGTCCATCCGACGCAAGATGGTCTGCCCAAGAATCCTCATGGAAACGAGTCCAACTCCCGTGTCAAGCTGAATGTTGTGATTGAAAGTTCAATGACGACAATTTGCAATTTGCCGTCTGAATGCCAAAACATGCGTCCACCCAATTTCCTTGGCCATATTGTGACGTGGCGCAATTGCTGAACCATTGCCACCATGGCGACCTTGCACGTAGTACTACGCTTCAAACGATTTGCAATTCAACCATTTGATGTACATCATAAACGCATACGCGCCATTGGCGTTCCTTCCACCGCCCTGGAACGCCAGCGCTTAACACGGGGCACGCGGTGCCGACAATGTCTCGTGCCCCCATGCTATTCGCCGCCTCTCTTCGTCTGTCTTCCATTTGCTTGCCCAAAGGCCTGGAACTGAAAGGCTAGCCTTGTAACGAAATGTCAAAGGTTGATCAAAACTAAACATAGATCAAAAGGACAGCTCTGGGCAAGTAAGTCTCTGTTCCGGCTCTCTCCTCCAAACAGGGAAAAACCTACTGTTCAAACGCCAGCCTTCTTACAGCTGGCGCGGGCAGCCTGTCTTTGGCGGCCAATGTGAAAGGCGCAACGTGATCAGAGCTCGCTGTCACCCTCCAAGCGTGCGCAGGACACCTGGCCAAAGCTTCTCACCGGTCAAATTCGGGGTTGTGTTTTTCAGGATGCCCTTTCTAAGGTTGGTTAATTGGGAAGCCAACAGGAAAACAACAACATTTTTTGGGAAGCAGCTTTCATGTGGGTGTGTGTTTTGGAGGGTACCCTTAAAAAAAAACAAGAATATTACGGCCGCCTATATGTCCAGAAAGCTTTCCGGCGTTGCAGTTCTTGAAGATAAACTGCATCGAAAGCCTCAGCTACTTGCCCTTGGGTAAAGTGTTGGAGTATGCCACCCACCTAAAGATCCCTGTCTTCTTACTGTATAGAAACCTAAACTAAGAGACCTTCATCATGTCGCCCGAGTTTGTTGAAGGGTCATCCTGCTCGTGTCAATGTGACACGGGCACACAGCTTCCTAACCACAGGTATGCAACCCGCCGCCAAGTACGAACATCCCTAGAACAGTGAAGCCGCATAGCTTAATGCTCCAAACAGCAAGGTTTCAGGAATCGAGCTGGTCGCCGAAGGCAGGGCAAAAAGGAAAGCAGAAGCATTACATGTGCCTTGCCTGACAAACCAAACACAAGAGCTACCTCTGAAAGGATCTCTTTATCCGGGTCCTGAAGTAACACCTTGTGAGGTTGAACCGGTCTTCTCGGCCATGCGGGGTGGCCTTTTGCAAGGCTCCATTTTAGGGGGTCGCATGAGCAGACCTCAGAGTTCATATATAAGATGAGCATCATCGGGCAGCGGAGAAGTTCCCCTGGTATGAGTGCTGCTGGGCAAAATATGAGCACTTCCCGGTTTGTCTGTCCTCAGGTCCCCCGCTAAAAGCTTAACTTTGAGTGGGTTTAGTGCAATTCTGGAAGCAAGGATTCCCAGGCACCGGACCTACGTCATGGTGAGCTCGTTTCATCTGCACAAAGAGCTCGCCATATAGGACATTTAGATCTCGTCCCGCTTCTCTTTCCTATGGACAATACACAAATTCAGAAAAAATGAACGTTACTGGTCTCCCAAATGGACCTCTTTTGGGGGCAGTGGACACCATCTGAACTGTTCAATCCTAGAATTCCTGCAGACATGTGCCACAAACCTTCCAAAAGACCGGCAAGGATTTCCAGGCGAACTTCCTGCATGGAGTTCCGGTAGCTGGGTTTTTCCGTTTAGCCCATGGCAATTTTGGGGATCCCTTTCCCAGTTGGGGGCAGTGGAAACCCGGAGGTTTCTCCAAATGGCGAACCCATAGGTGAGGAACCAGCTCAGGTCTTAGGGGCCGAATTTGAGAAACCTCCATGCGTCGAGAAGGAATGCTCCAGGCACGTCATGTCCATTTGAGAACCCATTCCTCCACCCCGGAGCCTGTCTGGGCTGAGAACCCATCGCTTTCAGCTGTTGGGGAAAAACAGTTTGTTCAATACAAACCCAATGCTTGAGAAACCTCCTCTAAGTCCTCCAGTAGAGAGGATAGAATAAGGCTACCCTTTTGTCTGTACTCTATGTTAGTAGGGGAACCCTCCCCCGAAGAAGTGGGTAAAAGGGCACTACTGGGGGACCTGGTCCTTCCTAGAATCTGTCATCTCGCGCGCCTTGCCGTGCCCAGTGAGCCGCCGGAGCCGCTGCTTGGGCAGATCCACCGCGCGGATGAGGCCGTCGCTGAGGCACCAGGCCAAGGCGCGCTGCCCTGGGCTCCGAAGAGAATGCCACGGAAAAAGCAGCTGCAGGCTGTGGTTGTCAACACCAATGGGATCCCATTTTGGTTGGTAGGTGCACCCCCCAGGTTGGTCTATTTTCAAAACCAATGGGATCCAATTTTGGTTGGTAGGTGAAACCCCCCATTTTAGAACCTATTTTAGTGGGGATTGGGATGTTCACTGGGGGTACGATTTGGATTTCGACCCATGGCCAGCAGGAAAAGAGATCAAGAAAGCTGATGTCGCCTGAATATGGACCAAAATGGGACACTTCAAAGCGTCAAAACGTTGGCTTTGAACACTTGACTGCGTGAACAGGAAAAGCAGTTCTTTCCTCATCCTTGACATTTCCCTTCATTCGATTTCCTACGCTTTGGGATTTCCCAAAGGCAGCTATTGACGAGGAAATGACAAAGGGAAGGGAATTATCCTCTCTCATCTCCGTCCGTCCTTTCCAGACGGGGTAAATGGCGATGGAAAGAGATGGAAGAAGGAAAGAGTCAGGAGAGTTTCGGCCCACCTCTTCAAGGCTGCATGTATATGTCCATATCTAAACTCTTGGTATGAACCCCTAGTTTGTGGGTTAATTAACCGTTCGTCGTGGCTTAACTGCGGGAAATCAGCCCGCACAGGGTCGCAAAAGGCCATGGATTGATTTCTGGACCAACACAATCAACCTGTGAACCTCTGGTGTACACAGACATCGCATTCTGATTCCGTTTCATATGTAGCCTACCCTGACATTTAAACATGTTTTGGAGACCCCCGTTTAGCGGTTTTGGCGCCTAGGGTGAAGCAGTGAATTCGGCCACCAGGTGGTGACCCCAGGTGGTCAATGGCAATCTGCCCCTGCTTGTTGAGTCTGGACAGTTTCGGCATATCAGGAGGGTTCCGCTGAAGGTCGTATTGGGGAGACGCTCTGCGGGAATGAGGACGCATCCGGAAACCAAATAAAGCTGTAAGTGGGCCGGCAGTTAAATATAACAATAACAATTGAGGAAACAAACACATAAATTATCATGTTTCTGCTGGACATGGTTCTGCCGAACACGCCGTACGAATTACGGGTGGTCCCAGAAACCACGGGACTCTGAAGGTAAGTCTAGGCAATACTCAAGTAAGTACCAGCAAGTCGAAGTCGAACCCAGACCCTCAACTTTCCCACTAAAGAGAATTCCCGGTCACTGGTTCAACTATCCCGGGGGGTGGAAGAGACTATTAAAGCAGCTCCAACATTATTTCAGTTCCCATGGTCCCTTGGGCACACAGAACACTAGGAGCAACCAGTGCATTCTGATATCCAGTTGTAGTTGTATCCAGCTGTTGGCATTAGCAAAGTCATGCTCCATTCTACAGGCTGGAGATTGGGACCTCCGTTTTGCTCGCTTACTGGTTGGTTGGCGGACTGGGTCCTCCAGCAGAGACGTTGGAATAAGGGTGCCCTTTTTTTTCTGTAGTCTATTTTAGTAGGGGACCCCTCCCCCAAAAAAGGGTAAAAGGGCGTCCCTCAAACCCTCGGACAGCCCGAGCCGAGCGTCGGCTCCAGTTCACATCGGCGCCCCCCAGCCACGCAGGGATCAGCGAGTCCGCGGGCGAGGCGCCGTCGTCCTCCAGCGAGATCCTCGCGAGCCAGCATAAGCAGCGAGCCAACCACTCACCACAAAGCCCCGGTAAATCAAAAAAAATCATAAAAGAATACGGTGGCTGCCACCATTTTGCAGTGAGCCATCGCCACAACCCCCCCCCCCCCCGGATAAATCACCGTAAATTGAAGGGCGTCCTTATGCGTCCTTGTTGCTTGAAATAGTTCGGGGATCCACCGTGAGGTGGGACATGATGTGTCACAATCAAAACTTGGTACTAGAGGGGCCATGAGATATCCGCACCTATTGCTGCCTGCTGGCCCTCAATGCCGGCTTTCCACCAGGCTCAGAGAAAGTGAAGTGAAGACTGGGCGGGTAGATCCCCTGCTCAAAGATTAACTTGTAGCGGCTTCGTGGCGACTACTGAACCTGAGCAAAACAAAACCTAACAAATCCTAAAAGCCTAAGGGCACGGCTGGGAACCACCAAGGCTTTGTGGAAAGTTGGCCCTTTGCAAGGAGCTCTTTGCATATCCGCCCTCTCGCTTCAGTTGGCCTTACGCAAAGGATGGCCCAGAGAAACCTGGGCGTTCTCTAGGGCGTGCCAAGCGCCTCGAACTGGCCAGTGCAACTCCCACCACACTGGCGGCGAAGTTGTACAATTTCTACTGGGTCCATGCAAAGGGCGGCACCGTATTGAGCAATGCAGTCTGGGGAGACGGGGAGGAGCGGAAAGCCCTTGCAGAAATAAGGTCCCCTAGACGCCCTAGAACCCGTACAGCTAAGTTGGTTATTCAACTCTGACAAGAATGGTTATGTTGTGCGCGACTGGGAGTAAGTGTATGGCCTCTCAACATGAAACCCAAAAGGTTTATGCCCGGGAGGGTACGCAACTTTGCTCAAAGGCCTGTTGCAGGAATGCACAAGAACAAATCGAATTGCCACCTGTGCTTCACGAGCCCGTCTATGCGTAGAGGCAGCATGCACAACGTGCTATCTCAGAAATTACGGTTACTGTCGGGCTTTCATGAGATTGAACGCGAAGCCTAAGAGGGGGCGAGGATCTCTAAGTTGCCATGTTTCCCCCGATGCAAACCCGAAACTTGGGCTCCCTGTTTTAACCCGCAAGACTGGGGTCCCACTTGTCCTTGTCTCCCCCCTTTGGGCTTTGGCCGAACCTAGGTCAAGACATCCTTTCTATATGGACCGAAATGCCGTACCAAGAGTTTCCAGGCGTGTCACAACGCGCCGTGGGTCCTCTGCATGCCGCCCTCAAAGCTCCAAAGCAGCAGCACTCGATGAGCAAAGCCTAGGATGTCAGGACACCCGCAACCCCTGGTGCAAATAGTGGACCTTTTTGGGATTCACAGTTTCTAGCGGCGATGCGGCGAGGCCTTTTGGGTTGACAACTTCTAGTGGAAGGCTGCTTTGGGTTGACCAAGCGTGGCTCGGAGCCCACTGGAGGGAAAAAGGGCGCCACTGAACAATATGTAGAATGGTAGTGCCGGATCCTTAAAAATGTGAAGGTCAGCAGCTAGGCTTTAGGCGAGCGAGAAGCGCACCACTTCTATTGGGGATGATTAACGCCTCATTTGGCTTTCATGGCCGGCCTTCCATCCCTGGTGTGCTTAAGGCATCTTCACGGTGGGGGGCTTGGGATCTGATGGCCCCTCACCCAGCATCTGGGTCGGTGACAAGTTGTGCCACTGACACTGCCACTATGACTGACACACACTGACAGACAAACACAGAGACACAGAGACACAGAGACACAGAGACACAGAGACACACACACACACACACATGTGCGGGTGCCGGGCAATTTGTAGTGCGTTCAAAGGAAACAGCCTAAGAATTCTGCATGGCGGATAGTGTTCTGGGTTGCCCCCAAGAAGCTGTAGCTCAGAGCTCGTCCGCCTTCCCAGTCCACATGCCTTGGAAGCAGCGGACGGGGTGGGAAGGCTTGCAAAGGAGACCTTCTCCCTCCCAAACCCTAACTGGAATTCATGAGGGCTCCTGGTCATACATTACCGTCCGTCACCTACCAAGAGAACCATGGATTCAGTACTAATGAAAGGCCCCCCTTAGTGGATGTGCTCGCCAGGGAGCAACACAAACAACGAGCTTCAACGGGGCTAAATATATATGCGCTGAACAAAATGGGCAAGTATATCTTATCGCTTGCTTTCCGTTCCAAACGCAATTTGTCACTCAAAGGTGTGCTGTCACCAGGGTGAAAGCCAACATGAAGAGAGGGTGCCATCTACTTTCACTCAACTGCAGTTGTGGCAATCCAACCGCAGCAACAGCTTTACAAGGATGCGAATCCTCTAAATGAGGCATTGGGGGGGATCTTTCAACTGGCCCACATGCATATCAACCTTTGACGAGGGATACTTTGCAAAATGGCGGGCACAAATCTTGGTCTCACCAAAAAAAGCGCCACCTCACACCCGAATTTCCATTTTTTTTCACCCCAGGCGAGTAAAAAACCGTCCATATTCAACTCACTTCCGATCCAGTGGGCTGGCCCTGTTGGCTTGCCACTGGAACTTCTCTTCCCAAAGACCTTCAGAAGTCCAGGAACTCGGTGGGTCGACCAGGGTTACGGGTTGTCAAATGCGGACCTTGACTAGGTTCTCCAGTCGAGAGGTTAGAATAAGGGTACCCTTTTGCCTGCAGTCTATTTTAGGAGGGGAACCCTCCCCCAAACAAAAGGGCCAAAAAGGGCACTACTGCGGAACCTAATGGGCGTCCCTTTTTTCCATGTCAACCGTTTCAAGGGTTCCCTTGTTCGGCACCGAGGGGCGCCGCCCACACGGGGCCCTGGTGCCCCTCGAAGAGCTGAAGGCAGGCGCCGGCCTGCGGGAATTCGACATGCCTCGAACGCGGCAAAACAATAGAAAATCCGCAGGTTTTGGGTGGGTGGTGGATGGGGTGGCTGGCTGGCTGGGTGGCGAACTTTCGGCAGAAAGCCCTTGTTTTTGGATGTGTTTGGTGCTGGCCGATTTCCTGTGAAAAATCCTGCAGGGTTTAATAACTCTGTAGTTTGATGGGCTACATGGGTGGGTGTGCTTTGAGGCTGGTTAGGTTTCCAATTCTGCCCATAGCCGTAGCCAACTAATTATCTCAGCCTGGGAGATCCCAAGTTTCCCAAATTGCAACCATGTACTGGGGAACCAGTACAACCAGGAACACCGCTAGGCCACCAACATCTGGCATAAGGAGCTTAAAATAATTACTATGAGTAACTCATAGTTCGCTCCAACATGCTCCAACAACCACACCTAAATTCGACCTCCATATGCCCCCACAGTTCCATTCTAACTATTTAGAACGTTGTAGTGGCTACCCTAGCTGTTGCCCGCCAACGGTATCACCTATGGGGAATACTCTACGCAGAATCGATGCACTGATACGATTGTTTGTCTCTGATGTGGGTAAACTGTCAAGCGCGTTGAAGAGCATGCCACGTTCACTAAATGGTTTCAAAGGTTGCTGGCAACACGTTCAAGATACATTTAACAGGTTGGACCCAGCAAACAAAGAACATGATTGAATCACACACCAAGCAATATATCCTTCTGCAGAGCTATCTCGTCGGTAAAGGAAACTATGGGTGTTCTTTGAAGCCGTGAACCCATGTTCCACAAGGAAACAGCCCATTTCTAGCTTCTAGGGTGTCCCCTAAATGTCTTGCCTAATCTCAGTACGGAATCAACAGGGGCTTTAGGAGTTAACCTATGCACTTAAAGGAAACCACAAGGGATGGTTCACAGAGTTGATTCCCTCATTCCTTTCTGAGTGGGAACCGGCAAGTCTTGAGCAACAACCATATGGGAGTGTCACCTGTTGAGGGTAATTGCCCCTTTTGGATGGTTTGTTTAAAGGGAAACCAACTTCAAAACCACCGCACATATATATATATATACATATCTCTCTCTCTATACATATGTATTTATATATATATATTTTTATATGTGGGAGGGGGGCAAAGGACAACCACCATATAAACACATACATGTGTGTATATATATATGTATATGTATATGTGCAGATAGATATACATATATATATATATACGTATACATATATTGTACTTGGGGGGGTAGAGTCATGAATAAAGGACACACCCCCACGTCTGGTCCCAGATGTCTGGCTCCGGTTCCATCGCCTGCAAGTCCCAGAGCCGCAGAGTCGAGTCGTCACTCCAGCTGAACGCGCGGCTCTGCTCCCAGCACACCTACCGAGCCCCAGTCTTCTGCACAGGTTTGCTAGGTCCTCCAGTAGAGAGGTCGGAATAAGGCTACCCCTTTTTTTCTGGAGTCTATTTTCGTACCCTTCCCACAAAAAGGCTAAAAGGGCAATACTGGGGGACCTAGTTTGGTTGCTGCAGGGGACGGTTGCTGAATCAAGGAGTGTTTGGCTGCTTTGGTGCCAAACATGTTTGGTCTTCCCAAAGGTGTGTCCAAGCAGTCAAGGTGCGAACTATAAAGACTTTCTGCCCCCTTGCCTTCCTCTAACACCCCCGCCCCGGGGAAAAACATCGAGTGTCCGCCTCCGCACCGCACACGAGGTCCGAGTGCCCCTCAAGGCACGCGGACTTCGTGGGCGTCCAGAGGCGCAAGGTGCCTTGCCAGATTTCGGAGACAGGGCACTAGGGCGCCGGGGAACCGTGAACCCGACCCCCCACCCACTAACATGGAATCTGACTCGGAGCATTTGGACAACCATTGTCCTCTTGCAGGTCCTAACATAGAATTGGACTTTCAGGACGAGGCACGTTGTGACAGTGACAGTGGCCGGGGGGGGGGGTCAAACATATCCAAAAGGGATCCCGAGCTTGGAAAATGGCGCCCGACAAAAAACCTTGCATTTCAATCATGTTGGATCAAGCCGGATGTTTGAATGGAGGGATCCTGCATTCTTTCAACGATATGTTTGCGCTTTGGGGTCGAGACTGTGTGTTGGAAAGTGACACATGTGGGTGGTTGACAAATGAAGTCAAACAATGCATTGTTTAGGGGTTGCCCTCTACCACCAAGCAAGGGGTACCTCCAAACTCCAAACCATCCCATGCGGAAAAACTAAATCAGCGAACACAACTCTGGCACCTCCATCTCAAACACAGGCCTCCATGGCTCTCACAGTAAGGGGGAGCCCCTACTCAAAATACGATCTTTTTTGCGTGGTATTGATTGAAACACCTCCGACCCCCCCCCCACCGGGAAAATTTTGGGGGAGAGGGGGGGGGGCCTCCATACATGATTGCCAAGGCAAGGATCTCAGTTCTTTGTTGGGTGGAATGACCGCGACCTTTGCCAGCCTAATGAGGATATCTTAGACAATCATTCAATATGGGCTTGTCTCAAGACAGGCGGACGCACGGTTTCCTTCTATTGCCGAACAGGACCCCAAATGCCAAACTGTCTAACCAGCACAGTCCCTGGGCAAAATGCAAGTACTCAACCAGACATCGGGCCGTTGGCCGAACCGGTGAGGATCAATGCGGGTCCGTGCGGGTGGGATTCTGCATCAGCATGTTCATGAATTCAGACCACCCATAGCAACACTCGGGATAAACCGAAGGCCATTCTAAAAAGAAGGCCGGAGGAAATCAGCTCCCGGCCAAGACCAAACCGGTGAAGCCACAGCGGGTCCGTTTTGGGATCCCGCGCAGTCGCTGGAGAAGCTGAGGCAGCCCAAAGGCTCCCAGTTGCACAGCGCGCCAGTCACTGCCTTTCGCTCAAACGTGCTCCGCGAAAAAAAATGGAAAAAAAGATCAGCACAATGGAATTCGAAATGCCAGAAGGAACCCAAAAGGCACAAAGCCCAGTGGGTTGGTCATTGTTTTTCCAGGTTCGGGGCAATCCTGCAACAAGTTTGCTTTCCCCCGCAAACATCTAGCGGTTTCCCGTCCTTGGTTTCATATCAGTTTCCTGTGGTAGCTTCAGGTACGGTTGCACACATCCGGGTGGACAAGGGAATCAGCGTACATATGGGTGTGTTTTTCTCGGGGACCCTCCAAAATGGTTGTGTTCCTTTTGGTTTCTATTTAAAACCACAGACGGAATGTGACAGCCACAAGTTCGAGCTCAGTCTGCCGAAAAGTGCGCCCCTTGGCCCTTTGGAGGCTCCCATAGACATTTGCCCAAAAGCAGCTCCCCCTTTCTGACTCGGCATCTTTCCGTCAAGCACCCAAAGGAACATCAGCATAGGGCTTGTAGATTTGCGCCCAGCAAAGTGGTTGCATTTTGCCCGGCTCTCGAACAAATTATGTTGGACGTGGTCTGCTTCCCTGCAGTTTTTTTGCTTTTAACATGGAACCGAATCTCCTCCTGCCGGACCCCCCCTTTCCTTTTAAATGGGTTCCTTTCGTCAGTTGCAGAGTACCTTTCAACCAATTGTTCCCTGCGTTCTCTCAAAGACCCAATCCACCCACTCAGCAGTGCCGCATCCCAACCACACCTTTCAACCACTGCAAGGGGAAGTTTTTGTTGGTCCCCCTTTTCCCTTTTGGATTCCTTCCGTTCATTTGCAAAGTACCTGTCAACCACTCCAAGGGGAAGTGGAAATTTTGGTCTGACCGCTTGAAGTCCTCCGACGAGCCTCGCCTCCTGGTGGCCCAACAGCTGCTGTTGCAGATTTCCTTTTTGCAGGTCCCACAGCAGCACCAGCCCATCCTCGCCCCAGGAGATGCCTCGGATTCCCGACTCGGCAAAAAAGCCCGGAGAAAAAACCGAGGAAGAAGAAAGCAACAGCTAAACCGGAGGAGCAACGTGAACAAGCCTCTTGGCCAGACTAACCTCCCGTTCTGATTATTTTACCCATGGCTGTTCAAGAAACATGGGCCCATGAACAGGCACTCTCACCCAAAAAACAAGTTGTTTGTTTTTTCTGTTTTGAAGACCCTGGGGCACCTTTTCCGAGCATTCTCCTTGCAAGTAGGCCCCATTCGGAAAACGATGTACCATGCTTTGTCTGGCTTCTTGCTATATTTTGCGGGGCTCGAATCTGTCGCCTTTAAGCATCACCCCGCCAAAAAGAGACTGACCCTATTGTCAAACTAATGAGGCTTAAAATCCACCAGAAGGACAAGTTCAGCACCCCTGGTTTTGAATTTAGGACACTAACGGCACAGGCTTATCGGGATGTGTACAAACAAACACATATCCATCCCTGTTTGGCTTTCCAAGGGAAGCCTATCACTTATATTCACATGTGTGGTGCCTTTGAGGTGGTCTTTTCCATGGTGGGCAGGGGGGCTTTCCATACAGTTGGCACCCGCATGGCCCATGGCCCAAGCGGACAGTCCGCAAGCTTTCAAATGAATTTGTGTTTTTGCCTACCTTGCCATAGGTGATCTTTCTAGAATTTGTGTACCCATAGTAAATATCCGTGGTTGGCAACATCTCGCATTCCTATGATTTGGGCTTGGGCTCCTGCAGAATGCGCCTAGGGAGGGCCAAACCAAAGCTCAGCGTTCCCTCCGCATCAATTGTCCCAGCGTCAGCGCTGCGTCTCCCAGTCCACGCTAAAGCCCTTGATGTGGTCACCTGAGGCGACAACTCATGAGGGCCCTCTCCATCATCCACCAGGGAAGCCGAGATGCGCCTTGAGAACAAAACCAACAAACCGACCTACCCACAAGGTTGAACCCCCCCAATTTTATCAAATAGAATAGGGTTAGTCCATCCTTATTGGAAAATAACATGAAATAGTCCAACTTTGACAGAAAATAAATTGAAAAATCACGTTTTATGTTCACCTCATTTTGGGGGTTTGGTTTGAACAGTTCAAGTTGGACAGGACAAAACGTACTTCATTTTCATTTTTGGATGAGTTTTAATGGAAAAGAAGGGGTTGGACTAAAATAAAATAGATCACTTATTTTAGGGTCCAACCCACCCCAACTGTATTTTGAACCTGCAACGGGGATCCGACCTCAACCTTTTTCTCTTGGTCGATTCTAAAGGGACACCCCGTCCAAAAAACAGGAACACATGACCCCGCTCAAGTCATGGGTCAAAGAGGCGATCCCCCCCCTCGGGCCGAGATGCCATGTCCAGTGAGACTGTGCAGCAGCTCACCCGTCTTCAGGTCCCAAAGGTGCACAGACATGTCCCTGGCAAAGCGAATCGGCCGGTGAATCGGGCGATGGCGAATCCGCAAAGAGGCAAGGCGCGAGGCGCAAAGGCAATGGAAACCACCAAGCCGCCCCTGGAAGAAAAGGTGTATGCACCCTGTAGCATCTCTACAGTCGTCATAATCCCATTGTGTTGGGGGTAGTGGCTTGGGGCAGTCTAATCCATATACAGTTTGCAACCCAACCACGTGTGCCCCTTGATGCCCCTGTTTGCCACAAAGGCCCAAATGCAAAATGGGTACAGTTTACCGGACATGGTGACCCTTGGTTGCCTATGCCACATGAATTTTCGCTGAAGAAACACGGAACGCGTCAAACAAGTTGACAGCCGAAGGTCGTAAAACAAAGGCACATACAGCAACTTTCTTAAGGCCAGTCCCATAGTCTGGATGGGGGGGTCGCTTTGCTGCTCTTTGGAAGGAAAAAGGGAGTCGGCTTTTTGCCGACTTTGGATGGAAGAAAAAGGCGGCTCCGGAAAGAAGAACGTCCCGCACTAAGACCAGCAATTGTCCCGCCCACTCTATCCAGGTGACCGCAGCTGAAACGAACGAAAACCATTATCCCGCCAATTGGCTTTGGATTGGTGGTTTAGGGGTTAGGCGGGTAGCTGACCGCTTCCCCCACACAAGCCAGGGGTTGAAACTCTCAACCCAATCCAAACCACCAGCTAAGGGGGGCTACACCTGACATGTAGTGATTTCTCAGTTCCTTGTGGATCTTTGCAGATTTTGAGACACCCCAAAGGCGCACCAGCACAGCGCCAGGCGGTCTTTGGCCCAGTCCGCTTCCAGGCCGGCGTCTACCAGCCGCTCCAGGCCGCAGTTGCCTGGGGGGCTTCGGCAAAATAGCTGGTGAATCCTCAGGTACTTCGAGCCTCCAGCTGACTCAAATAAATTTAAGAAAGGGCGCATCTCCAGATTTAATCCAAAATACACAAAAAGCAAACAAACAATACTCATGGTAAAGGCAAACGAAAAGGAGTGAACAACCCCTGATTGATCAGGAGTTGTGTAAGTAAGGTATGCTTGTCAAGGCATGTTAGGCTTGATCATTCTCCTCTTCCCTTCCCCCGTGAAGATCCAAAGCGAGCTTTTCAACGCGACCTGAAACGGGGGTTCGTGTCCTTTGACTAGCCGGGTTACCCCCCTTCCGGACGAAAAACCAAACCTGTTCTGGGCAAATCCAAGACATAACCAAACCCTTGTGGGTAAGTAGGGGGATGCCACATGTCTTTGAAACTTATGGCCCCCCAAAGAAAACAAGGGGGCTAACACGATCACCAGCAACATGTTGGGGTGAGGGTTCAAAAGTACTGCCCCTCTTGCGACCCTTGCGGAGCCGCGCGCCGTCTTTTACGGGAGGTAACAAGCCCCCACACAAACACAAATGCGGTGACGTTCACAACTTTTGCTGACTCGCCGTGAACTCCCCCAACTAAAACACAGCATCGTCGGGTGTATGACTGCATGAAAAATGTGATCCCCCTGCAGAAGGACCAGCAAAAGGAAAGCAAACATTCGCCCGGAGAGGACTACCCACTCAACTCATTTTGGGAAACAACCAACACTCACTTTCCCAAAAGCCATGAACAAATGCGATGGTCACCTGGAAACTTCACAAAACACTGGCAAAAGGTTGAGAAACCGACAGGTCAACAGGTCCATCGCCAGGACAAGGGCAACAAAGGGGTTGATCTCCTGCGCGCCAATTCTTGGGTTTCGGCACCATGGGGAAGTCAACCCATGAAACCGTTTTTGATCCCTTTGAGCAAGCATCCCACCAATTCAAATCCACCTTTCCCAATCCAAAGGGAAAACCATCCAAAAAGCGCATCAAGCCCTTTTGCCGGGCTGTGCCACTGGTGGGTTCCAACCCGCCCTACACACCCGCTTCCCCTGGGTTTCTCCCCCTCTTGACATCCCACTGTTCGAACAACCACATCGAGGGGGTAGGGGTAACCGGAATCCTCTGCTCCAGGTGTTAAATAAGGTTGGGGTCCCGAAAAAAAAGAAAAAAGAAAAGAAAAATGGTTTCCTCGTTTTGGACTGCCAACGTTAAATAAAGGTCGCCTTTTTCTGTCTCCTTTTGGGGCAACGAAGGGGCGATGATTTCGCACGTGACACGGGGCCCCGCCCGCCGCGCGCCCGCCTGAGAGTTGCCGGGCCCAAAGCTCTTGGCCCTGAACCCACGCCTTCACCGCGAAGTCCGCCCCCACGCTGAGCTCGGCGATTCGAGTCCAAGTGGATACCCACGCGCGCCCACGCGCGTCCCACCCAATGGGCCCAAGGAAGCGTTAGCAATTGACACTTACATTGTACATCTGAACATTGCAACTTGTAAATGGTGGCTTCCCTTTATTTTGGTGTTGAAAAAGCCATGTTTCAAATGGTTGCAACATGTATCTTTTAAGGAGCCCTGATTGAGTGGATACCCAAGCGCGCCCAAGCACGCCCCCCAAGGAACCCTTGGCAAGCCTTGGGCCTTGATGCGGTGGGGGGGGGGGGCTTTACTAAGCTGGCATCCCTGCAACGGCAGCCAATTCACATCAATGGACCGACGCTTCCCGGTCCCCCGAGTAAATGTTCAGAATACACCGGTTTCAATGGGCTTTTGTCAGAGGATGGCTGTCTTCCAAACCCCTCGATTCTTGGAAAGGGTGGGTGAGTCAAGGGAAACGTGGGGTGTGGGGGGCGGGAAATATCCCAAGAGTGTTGTTCGAATGGACGGGCATCCATGTTCATGCTTGCCAAAAACAGAACCAACAAAAGTTACAGTGGATGCAAACGATTGGAGGTTTCTAGATTTCTCCGAAAGCTCGCTGTTTTTTGTTTTTTTTTGTTTTTTTTTTCCCGTTTTCTTTTGTTTTTGCGTGCGTTTGCGAGTTTGTGCCCTTTCGAGGTTCTAAAGAGCAAATGAAGGCCCCCCCCCCGGCCGATGGAAGGTTCAACAAGCAATGAAACGCATGTGCCGAAGTCGCAATCCGCATCTCCTTCCAATCCACGTCAATGTCCAGCACGCCACCTTTCAGCTAACGATGGCTGCGCACAGGTGCCATGTGAGCACGGTTCCCTTAAAGGACATGGGACAGTGAAGCCCCGGTGTGTGTGTGTGTGTGTGGGTGAGATTCAGTGACTCCCCGATGTCCCACCCAACTCGATTATAGGCTACTTCATACTTTGACCGAACCTCATTTCGGTATGTCTCAAAATTAGGAACCCCTTCGCCCCCTTGTGGATGGTTGAAACAGGGAAAGAACGTTTCCCATCCAACTAACACTAGGGTGTTGAGACGCGCAATTGTTTGTAGGCCTAAACCCCGGCCTGCCGATCCTTTTCTAAGGAAAACAATTGTGGGTAGGGTAATGACAAAACAGAACCCTAGTTGTGTAATTCTGCGGGTTTCTCTCCCATTTTCCTCCCACTGTTCTCTTCAGGACCCACCCATTTTCTCAGATTGGCCTACTTTCTGACAAGGGCACAAAAGTGGAAGAACAGAGCCCAGCTACGGCCGCACACCGGCCTGTCAGTGGGTGCTTAACGAGCTGTCCGCACGGAGCACTGAATGCATGCAGGGCATGGGTTGGCCTGGAGGGTTGAAGAAGACCAACCTAAAGTAAGAAGGTAAATTCCGAGAATCCTTTCTGATGGCGTTATGGTGAACCACATGAGGAAACAACCTTCAGAAGGTCAACCCCCGGTCGCCAAATGCAGCCAAAGGCAGGGGGCACGAACCCACATGCGAAAGGATGCCGTTGCCACCATTTGGCCCCAGCGTGGTCATGGAGGCACCAATAAACAACTGACTCTACAAAGTCAACCCCAAAAATCTAAAATAGCCCCCTGACTCTTGGGAAATCCTGAAGGGTTTGGGAAATTGCATGGAGCCCTGGAGGGCAAGTCAAACTCGTTCCCTGAAGGCAAGGGAACGTCCTTCAGCACGCGAGCTCGTTGGAATCTGCCCAATTTGCATCTCCGACCTCCAGTGGGAGTTCTCTTGTTTGGAACCTGCACTCAGGGGGCTACTTCCGCCAAGCTAACGTCGATCAGCCAAAGCAACAAATAAGCAACACGACCCCATCCGATTTACACGACCCCTTCCGATTTTCCCTCCAACCCGGCAAGCCTTCGTGTGCCAAAAGCCTTAGCTGAGGCAGCCAAGCCCCCCCCCCTTTTTCCACCCCATGGTGGTTCAAATATCCATAAACTTGCAAATCATGCCTGCTGCCTAAGGGGGCCGGTTAGTAGTACATTCTTGATTGCCGAAGGAAAGCCCAGCTTGAACTTGGACCACCAAAACACCAAGGGTCAAGCCTCCCAATCCAAAAGGAACGTATCTCCTCGGCTCAACTATGAAGCGGACAACGATCAAGATTCACACCCTGGGGCCATATCACAAGGCTATCTGTGGAGGGCACTTGCCTGCAGGAAACATAGACCCAAAAGCCATGTTTGTTTGGAAAAGTATTTTTTGGGAAGGAATCCCCCGTTGGCGTCCATGTCACTGGGGGAGGGGGGTCTGTCAACTATTTGCCAGGGAAGTGCCTTGTCTGCAAGTTCAGAATGCCCAAGATGAAAACTAGCATCGGACACCCTGTTGCTTGTTCCCACGGCATGTGAGGATGGACATGTCAAGGTCCAAGAAATGTGGGCCAAACAAAAGGATCATGCTTAGATGCGGGCCAAAACTTCTGTTTGCAACTTGGTGATGCGCTCTTTGCCCAATGGTTGCAAGCGGTTGTGGCTTGTGTTATTTGCATCTAAAGTACGCGATGGCAAGAGTTACCATCAGATGACCAAAAACTGACAGCTCCGTATGTGGTCTGATGGTCCAGACCGCGTGTTCTGGATCTTCTCTTCTGATTGCTGACCCTGCTATGCCACATGTTACACATCCCACCCTCAGTGAACCTGAACCTCCAATAAGGCCGTCTGCCGGGGAACATGTGCTCTGCCTCGCCCTTGCTCAGGTCCCAGCAAATCCTCAATCGCCAAAGAACGAGGGGGCAGCCTCCCTCCAGGCATTCGGGGCAAATTGCTATATATGTGTTAAAGGGAACTTCCAGGTATGGATTTTGGAGGTATGGATGCTGATAAACCACCAATAAAAGCTTGTAAGTCAGTATGCGCTCTTTATATAAGTGAATAAACCGGAAAAAAGACTAAGGATCCCCTAAGTGTCCTTTATCATAGGTGAGCTCGAGATAAACTTGATCTCATCGACCCAAATCACGGGAATATGGGCTGTCCTAGGTTGGTCTTTGAACAACGCATGCCAATAGAGCAACCGCGGTTGGAGGTGTGGAGGTTGTGCACTATGTGTACAAATATATCGTTTATATATCTAAATTTACATGCATACATATACTGCCTTACTTGAACCAACCATAACTCTTGTGGGCGTATGTTTAAAGGAAATGCATTTTAAAGGAAATCAAATACTACCCTTCATTTTGAAAGTGAACCTGTTTTGAGACAAACCCTCATGTAAGCGCCTTCTATTGAGCATACATAAAAAAAAAAATGGTGATGTATATATATGTATATAACTATATGTATATATACATCTGTGTGTGGATATATGTGCATATACATAAATACATGCATAGAGAGAGGGAGAGAGAGAGAGAGAGAGAGAGAGTGAGGCACTTCACGCGTGAACGGGAATGCGAAAAGGGGCCTGGGTTGCGGTGGGTTTTAGGGCCGGTTTCGGATGTGTTTAGGCTTCTTAAGGGTTGATGTAGACTTGGTATAGGGCAGGTTCAGGGTGGGTTGAGGGTTGGTGTAGTGGGTCGGAGTTTGCTTAAGGTGTGGTCGGATGTGTATAGGATTGGCTTGGTGCTGGTTTGGTGCTCGTGTAGGGTGGGATTATGGTCCCAACGCCACCAAAAGCCAGAGAAACCCGCAAGCCCAAATCTACAAACAACTACATCCCGAAATGTGAAACAACACAACACATTTAGTGCAATTCCTGAACAAGTCAAATCATTTCAAAGGAGATCCCAGCATTTCGCTTGGCAGTTTGCATGCCTCAAAGTAACACCTCAAAGGCACCAACCAAAAGAAGGAAACCATCACAATCGACTAAAGGCAACGATCTACTAAGAAGTCGGTGACAAGTTTTGCGAAGTGTCAGTAGGCCCACCGCGTCATAGGTGGCCGCGCGGTCGCGGGCCCAGTCCACCTCTACCTGAGGGATGTACTGGGTCAAGTAAGTCAATCCTCTTAGCCCACATCGGGTGTTCCAAGAATATGATGCTCAGATTCTGGTTCATTTAGTCTAGCCTAGAATAAATTGAAATGTCTTGAAGGAGACCCCGTTGAAGGGAAACTGCATCCAAAAGTAATCTTAAGAAAAGGGCCGGCCACCCAACATGTAACCACTTTGAGGAACCCAGAATCAGCTTTGCTCCAATTGGAAGTTTGGATTGGTGGTTGTTCCGGGGTGCCTTTCCAAATAAAACGCTTAAACAAGACCTGTTGAAATTTTCCAGGGTTGGTGGTTCAGGGTTTGCATGAGTGTCTTCCCGTGTGTTCTCCTTGAGTTGGTGCCCTTTTCTAGGGCTTCATTTGAAGGAAAAGCCGAAGGATACCCTTCTATTGCCAAGGGGACACCACCCCTTCTGTTCTTTGAGTTGGTATCCCTCGGGCGGCTAACCCGCCAGAACGAGAAACCACTGGCGAATCAACAAGTGCCCCAACACATCCCAGCAAGGGCAGTTGTTTATGCTCCTTCATGTAAACCTGCCAAACAAAACACGCACCCATCCCCATGTGGTTATTCAAGGGGCTTTACACCTCGCCCCCCCCCCAAAAAAAAAACAAAAAACAAACAAAAAAAAACAAAAAAAAAACAAAAAACAAAAAAAACACATAAGAAAACAGGTTTTAACCCCCATCCCCCCAACCCAACCCCCCCCCCCCACCAAGAAAAGAAAAAACGAGCCAACAAGCGGCGCCACGGATGATGCTCTCGTGCCCAGGCATGCAGTGGACCAAGCGCCCCTCCTCCAAATCCCAGAGCCGCACCGTGTGGTGCAGGTCTCCTGCCGGACCCGAAAATCGTAAATTGGCAAAGTTTCTCTGGAAGTCAGGGGAGCCCCCTAGGGATTGTGGTGTTCCTCCTGCTTTCCCCTGGAAAACATGTTTTCAACAGGTGGCCTTTATGAAAAAAGGCCAGCCAGGTGTGAAAGTAGATGGCGCGGGAACCCCTTCATGTGGGGAAGTAGCGATGGCGTCCGGAACAACTGGGCACTGAAGTGGAGATGCGCGCTAACACAAGGGATCAAAGGAACAAGTATCTGCCCTCTCCTTTGGGCTTCCAGCTTTCCAAAAGACACACATGGTCACTAGCTCCGAAAACCAGATCTAATATTTTGACTTTTTGCGGGTTAGTGGGGAGACGAGCATTTCCCCAAGCAACTTAAACGGAATCCAACGTCGGCCCGTCTCCCAGCGCGGCTCCTGACAGCGCCCGCCGGTTCTCCCAGTCCACTTCGAGTCCTAGGCCGGGCAACGCCAGTTGGAATATGGCTCCGTCAAGACTCTCCGGTTTGATCCCTTGCTGAAGTTTTTGTGTGGTGTTGGGGTGTGCCGTAAGTCCCTTTAAACTGTAGAAGTCCAAGGGTGGCTGGGAGAACCAAGGAGAATCATTTGTGGACTTAAGTCCCATCCAATTTAATTCAAAGGTGAAATTCCGAAAGCTTCCGCAGAGCTCATGTTTCGGTGAAGGTGATCAGCGAGCGACTCTTGCAGCGTATTTACCGTTGCTTGGCAGAGTCAACTGAACTTTGCATGCTCGGAGGCACGAAGTCACTAACATCACCTTGGTAAGGAACGCACTTTCAGTTGGCCCAAGCAGATGATGCGCTTACCACCAAAAGCGTGACAGTAGGAACCCCTAGGGTGGGACTGATACAGAGCCAAAGGGAAGCCATGGGAAGATCCCTTGCTCTCGTGCCATGGGGCCCCTGCTTGTCATGTGTATTGTCTCGAGTCATTTTCAGGCTGCAATGGCTGTCCCCTTGCGAGTTGGCTCTGATGAGTATCTCCATTTGGCTAGGTTCCCTCTTAAGCCAACAGGGGAAATACAACATGTTCTGAAGTAGCACCTCCGCCAAAGCAGTCCGCAGCTGAAACTGTGATTGTAGACGTGGACCAACGGAAGAGTATACGACTGGGATCCACTCAATGGAAGCCACTGACTGACCCACTAAAGCGCACGAGAGGCCAGAGACATGGGAGCCGCCCTGGCCCATGGTGTGCACGCAGCGGCCATCATCCAGGTCCCACAACTGCCTCGCGACCGACATGTTGACAGCTTCCTTCCAACCATACGTGTTTGTTACGATGTTTTTTGTTTTTCATCTGAAGTTATTGATGCGTTTGGATATGTTGATCAGGAACTCTGGGTGGCTGGCACAGTGTTAGAATTTGCCAGTTGGCCTGCTTTTTGTTGCAGGAAGGGATGTCGGACATGGGACGTCCAGCAAACAAAGGCATCAGGTTGACCCGTGATCAACCAAAAACGGGTTATCAACTTTTATACTCAGCCAACAAGGCCCACCCAAGACGCAAATGCATTTCGACAGGTCATGTGTGTGTGGCTGTGAGTCCAAGCTAGGGGCAAATCGTATTGGAACGGGACACGCCCATCATGTAGGAGAGCTGGGTTTGATACATCCCCACGCAGAATCCGACAAAATCTGGAAGAATAATCAAAATTTCGACCCTGAAATGGGTGTCTCTTCTTGTGAGGTTTGAAGGAAAGACCACTTAAGGGTCCCCGAAAAAAGACGCCCCCCAAATGCAGTACTGGGCTCAAACCAAGGAGCCTGCATCATGTTGCCCGAGGTTGCAAATGTGACCCCGTTGGCCCAATCAAGTTTGACAGGTCTGAGCATGCTCGAGGAAATAACACTTTCGGTGATACCAAGTTGCGCCATCCCTACTGTTGATGGACAAACCCTGCACCAGTTGGAAGGCAGTTCCTCCCGTATCAGATTCATCCATCCTAGGTGGTCCAGGGCAACCGTATAACTCACTTGTTTGTCTTAGCTTGCCCCACATCTTGATTACACAGAGCATGGAGACCATGTGTTCAAATCCTTCATAATTAGCCAACCTGAAAACAAAATATAGCATGTGTATCTTCCATTTGCTCAAGCCCCCTAGAAAACAAATCTGTCCAGTAGTGATTAGGTTCCCTTTGAAAACCAAAAAGGGAAAACAACATCAACTCCCAAGCAAGTGGAAGTTGTGAGGAGGCAACCAGCTAATGGGATCACCATGGGTCAGGCGTCCCTTGTGCCGAGCAGCAGGGTGCCCTCGGTGTTGCCAGTGAGTGCCAGGTGCCCCAGAACGCGCAGCACCGTGAGGGACACCGTGCCTTGGCTCGAACCAGGTAGACGACCCCAAAGAATCAACCATGTTCTAAGGGTTGTTGTGTTACACCCTGCGATGACACCCTTGGGAAATGGCCCGAAATGGTCCAAAATAACATGAATCTATCCCGGAAATATGTAAGTGGGGTCATTTCGCAGTGGGCGTAATACAAAAACCCTTAGACATGTGCTGAAGTCCCCTGGAACAAATAAGAACATACTTCCGGTAGTGATAGTTTCCCTTTAAACCAGCAGGGTTGTTTTCTCCGTTTTCCTATCGTGCTTCTCTTCATTTCCCCTTCATCCTCCCTTCATCCTGTGTCCTGCAAGGCCATTTCATTGTTACACATGTTCTTGTCGTTGTTATTTTTTCTCTTATCGTGATTAAACCCCCTGGGATACACGCAAAATGAGATGTGCGGCGTCTTTTCACATATACATATATAATTATAGATGGAATACCCAAATATATGAAACAGCCACGGTCACCCACTATGGAAGTTGATTAGGGGCCCCATATCAAAAGTCGACTGGTGTGTTCCATGTAGAGGGTTGCCTTTCTGCCTATTGTGGAAATATGCAGGGACCCTCTGAGAGTCTAGAACTCTGAAAAAAAAGGTCTCAGTCCCCGAACCCTGAGGGAGACAGTATGGCGGTCACATCATGCTTGGGGTGATGGAGCCCAAAATCTGCGAGGATCGAGTCCGGCCTTCTGCATCGCAAAGGTCTTGCAGCACTGCGTCCTGGCACGGGAAGATGTGGTGTGGTTGGGGGGAAGGGGCAGGTTGATGAGCAGCCCCGGAAACTGAAGCTTGATTGAACTTCGTTGCTCCAAAGGCTCGGGGACTGCCCTCCACCAGGCGATTCTATGGAGGCTCCCAGGACCCTGTTGGAAGACTTTGCTCCATTTACAGAGACCTTCTGGCAGCTTCCATGTTCGTCTGAGGGAGTGCAAGCATCCCTGAGCCCAACGTCGACCTTGCACACAAACCTCCTAAGCAATCACCCTGAGATCTCATCCACACCCGGCCAACACTCAACCTCCTAGTACGCTAGACTGGTCCTGTATCAATATCAAAGAAGCTATGTTCAACATTGGCGAAGCAACGGGGGTGGCAAGTTTCCCGCGTATAGGTGGAGCTCCGATCGCCTTCGGCTTAGCAGAGAAAATTCAAGCTGGGACTTTTTGATCGAGCGCTTCAAAGGCGACCTATGCTGCCCTATGATTAGCAAACAAACAAATAATGTCAAGCGGGAACGCTCGTTATTGTTTCAGGCTTCTCGGAAGAACTTCCTCTCGAATTGCTGATTTGAATTGGTGGTATGTTCTGGATCGGTTTCTCATTTACCCACAATAATCACTTGATCAAATCCCCAAACCTTAAATCCAAACCACGACATGCGCGGAACCTGATGGTTGGTCCAACCTTTAAAACACATGTTGGGAGGCGTCCTCAGATTGGACTAATTGTCTGCTGCTCCAAAGCGGGGAAACAAGAAAGTCCCCGTCCTCCGGCACTTCCTGGGCGGATGAGATCAGCCGCAGCTGTGCCAGAGGCTCGACCTGCAGCCGATGTCAGGTGTTTTTGTCGGGGGCGATGCCCTGTTTTCAGGGTTCGAAGGGAAGCCACAGGGACCAGCCATCATTTTGGACGCGCCCCAATGTGTTGACGCATGCAAATTTGAGCATGTACGTTGAGTAACGACCTAAAAGTGGGGTTGTTCGAAAACAAAACTGCCTGCAAACTTCCTTTCGCCGGCCTTCCGCAGCCCTCAGATGTCCTGTTGCTGGGGTACGGCAGGCTTGAAGAAGTCGTTTCTTGCGGCCCGTTCGCCATTTATGACGAAGGTTACTCGATTCACTGTAGACCATAAGGACCGCCCCTTACATTATCTAGGACTTGCAATTTAGAACGGCCCTCATATGAGAAAGCCTCCAGCAGCCATTTTAGCCCCCATGTTAATGTGTTCAGGGATCATCTTTTGGGGCTGATTCCCTTTCTGTCTTTTTGTCTTTCTATCTTTTCTTTTGTTCCTTTTTTTTTTCTCCTGCTCTTGTCTGTCTTTCCTTTTGTTTCCGTCTATCTTTAATGTGTGCTTCCGGGGTGGGGGTAAAACCAATTCACAAGGTTCCCCTTTGTTGTCGCTAAATCAATTGTCAATCCTCTCAAAGGGATCCCCATGACTTTGGGCATTGGCGCTGCCATCAGCTTTTCTTTGTGGTTTCCCATCCCTCGACAAGAAACAAGGGCTCCACGCCCAAACCAAGGCTGTTCTCTCTTCAGGAAAAAAATATTCGCCCTTGGCAGGCATTTGGTCAGGTCCTTTCTTGTTGGCCCCAGAGCCAAACGCCAACAAGGGGGGTCCGAATGAGTGAAATAGTCGGGTTTGGGGGTTCCAGGCATCCCCCTCTCAGAGAAAAGTACAAACCACTTTCATTATGCACTCAGCTGTCCTTCGGACCAGATGGCCCGGTCTGGAAGCCTCCTTGTGGTCTCTTATGTTCAACAAGCTGGCAATGTCGAAGGAATCTGGTGTTCGCGAGGAAAAGCATGAAACCATGAAACCAAAACGGCCCCCTGTTCTTGATCCTTTGCCCAATGATGCAGAAACCCAGCCAACAAGTCTCAAACGTTTTGAGACTGAACGCAAGTCTCCCCCTCGTTGCACTGCCCCCCCTCGACGCAGCCGAATCCAACAGGAAAGCACTCAGTTTTGGGATAACTCCATTTTGAGACACACCCACTTCCCCAGAGTTGATCAACTGCTTGGCCCGAGCACCCGGAACGCGGAGCGCGCCACGTTTCACTCAGCGCCTGCGGGCGCAGCGCCGTCTTCACGTCTTCCAAGGTTTGACGCTTCAGGAAGCGCTGCTCCAACAAGCACCGCCCCGAGATGCTGCACACCTCGCTGTCGGTTTTTCCCGAGAAACCCCATGGTACCTGCTGGATTGATCCCTCTCCTCGTTAGGCTGAGAGACGAGATGGCATCATCCCCTAAGTAGAGGGGATGACTAAATCACAATGGACCTGTGGCATGTACTTTCGCCTAACTTTCCGCCGAGAGAATTGAAACCATGAACAGATTTCATTTAACATCTAGAGGAACAAATCCTAGCCACCCACTGTGGCAGCTGGATCCTCTGGGGGAAGGGTGGTAAAGTTGATGGCCCATCAAGAGTTGCTAAGGCAAAAGGGAAAGCGTTTGTCTGTGAATTGCAACCTGTCTAGTTGTGTATTTTGACAGGGTGCTTCACCCGAACTGGAGCATTGATCGAATCCAGCCTTCCAATAAACGGAGGCAAAATACCCGGAGAAGGAAGGGGGCAAATAAATTTTGTGTTTCAACCGAGAAGCCGCAAAATACGTGAAAAACTCGGAAAGTCCGCTGAACAACTGAACATGGAAGCCGTACCAAGCTAATTACCAACGGGCCCGAAATACTACCTCAGCCTTTGAACGGAAAAACCTGACATGGTCTAAGGGGTGATTCACAATCGGGACTCAATGGGTCCCAGCATTTTCAAAGTTCGGATTTCCCAAAACCTTGGCACATTTCCTCAGATGCTCCCCATCGCGCCAAATCAGAAGGTAGGTGGTCAATGGCAGGAGCCAAAACGGTTTGAGACAAATGACCCAAGCAAGCAAATCAACGACAGAACGCATGCAACCAACTGGGCGCTAAACATGTCACACTCACAACACGACAAAATTAGGTCAAAATGCGCCACTTGTTTCCGGTGTCAACAGTGATCAAAACACCTACCAACCAAACCCCCCCAACTCAAAAGTCAAAAAGTGAGTAACCCCCCCAAACAAAAACACGCAAAGCAAATCTTGTCCACCCCCAAATCGTTTTTGACCTCCAAGTCGCTCCTTGGCTTCCGGGCAGCCCAAAAATGATCTTTGTTCTTGGAGGAAAAACGGACCCACGTGGCCCCAAACTCCCAAAGCACTGGGGCGCCAGTGGACGGCAGAGTGGGGCTAACCATGTACGGCCGGGATGCCCTCCGCCTCACACCGCTCAGCCTCCCCCACTGCTTCACTGCTCCTTCCGCAAGTGTGACAGGAAGCTCTGCAGGGGTTCAGGAGCGGGACCCAGCTCGGGGCTACGTAGCCCCTCATGGCCAGGCCAGCCCGCGCAGGCAAGGAAACTGTTGCACACAGGCAGCTGCCACCACCCTAGTCATGGCCGCCACCCGCATCCACTGCGAAGAGCAAGTCCCCAAGCTCCCCGAGCGGACCGGCATAGGCAAGACAGCATGACGTCATCAGGCACCAGCAGCCGCCAGCCAGCTCTTCTCTCCGCAATCCCTTGCAGGGGTACTAAGACAGGGGCAGCAAACCGCAAGCCACGGGGCACTGCCAGCACATCCACCCTATCGCATCTAGCGGCACGAAAGGGGCCTCCTCCGCCAGTGGCTAAGGTCTGCCACCCCCGTGCCGGCCGCTCCACGTCCAATCGTTGTACCCTCGGCGTGTTGGGTATATAATCACAAATGCACATATTTCATGTATATACATATTTTTATGTGTGTACACAGATATGCACATGCTTCATGTATACATATATGCACATGCTGGAATACACAAATTAAGTCCCCATTGATTAATGTCGCTGTTTTGAGGTGCCCCTTTTAAAGGGGGTCCATGATCCATGACCTTTAAACACAAATTGTCTCGCAGTTCGACGGAAGGCTTGAGGCGCCGGCACGGACCAGCACATCTTCCCTCGGTCACCAAAGCCAATGGAACCCCTGTTGACACCTACCAGATCACATTAATCCCTTACCTATATAGAGGGGTACATGTAGTGCTTGTTGTTGGTTCCCTTCATTTTTGTTGGTTCCCTTGGTTTTTGTTGGTTCCTGCAAGTTGTTGGTTGAACCGAATCAAACCACTACCGACATTTTTTGAGCTTTGTGCAGTGCAGCTCCAACAAAGGGCCTCCAAGCTGCTGTGTAATGACATTTGGTGTTAAATCTTCCTGACTGAGCATAGATGGCATCGCTGTCTACGTTTTTTGAGCTTCATCGGGCTTCGGTCGCCAGTTTGGCTGCACTCTTCAAGACGCGTTGCATACTTGTCAGCCTGAAGCAAGGGCAGGAACGTCTGCTAACAAGGAATTACTTGCGCGCGACAATGCATGCCACATAGCCAGCTGCTACCTGTGTATCGCGCCGCCATGTGGGGTTCCATCCAATCGCACACAAACACAGCTTTGACCAGGCACCTGCACTTAGTGAAGGAAGCAACTGCGTTGGCCAATGGATCAACAAAATGAGTAGGTTTTCGGAACGTTTTTGGAGTGTGTGCGTGTGTGTGTAAGCAAGGTGCGTGCTTCAAACCGTGACCTGTTTTCCAACAAGCCCATTCTTCGTGGCGCGCATGGGGTGCAAACTGCAAAAAGGTGCATTCTGCCAAGTACATCGTCGAGCAAATGCTGCAGAGCCGGACGCATACACACACGCTTTCCTAGATCTTGCATGGGCTGTCTGAAGCGCGCACGGTCACAGGGCAAGTAGCCGCAGCTTTGCGGGTTGCCAAACAAAGCCAAAGCTTGACCATGGGCACCAGAAGCCTCAATCACTATGGCAAGAAAATCATGCAACGGAGCACAACCTGCCGCCGCCACTGCCCCTTACATACCTAAAATAGACCGCGCCAGCCTCAATCCAACCGATTCATGCTTGGTTTTGGGCCGGGAGACGCGACCTTGCTGGGAATAGCACGGACCATAGGAGCAAGCATGCCCAACACATGGCACCCTCGAGAGATACGATGCCGCGCTATCACCTCACCTCTTAATACTCGTTCTTGCTTTGCCACAGGCTGCCCCAGGCAGCAAAATATGCCCAACAGCTTTCCACTGGCAAAGCTCGCGCAAGATTCTGCTTGAGTGGCCCACTCATTTCTGTACAGCAAGCAATTTGCCATGTGACTCTCCAAACGCCTTTCCAACAGCCCTCTTTCTTCGCAAACAGGATGTGTATTGCTTATTTGCTGCTTCTAGTTGTTTATTGTTCAATACGCACGACGCTTTGAGTACTTGCCAGCCAGAAGCAAGGGGCAAAAAGATCCATCAACAAGGCGTAACTCGCAGGTGAAAAGACAAGCCACGTAGCCAACTGATACCTTTGCGCTACGTGTCGCAATAGTTTTGCCGGTACCAAGGGGTGTGACACATGCGCACCTCTTAAAAGTACTTACACTGATATGTAAACAGGAATACCTGCCCAGTCTGCTGTCTAAAGCCTGAGATTTGGTGTATCCAGTTTCTCTCTCTCACTTTCAATGCTGGCATTCAGCAAGAAAATACATTTTTTGTTGTTGCTTTTCGTTGTTTTGTTATGTTTCCTTTTTTGACTGGACCGATTGTTTTGGTGTTTATGGAAAAAACAAAAATAGTACTACATTCCGCCCTCTAGGTAGAGGAACAAGTGGATCCTAATATGTGTGGTTTTCAATGGGGGGGGAGACTTTGATTATTGGGAAGGGATTTGTTATCATGCCATAAGATTAGATGGTCACATTTTCTGTGGGTTATCCAAGGTAAGTGCGTGAGGGTACCCAAACCGAAAGGACAACCCACCAGTTTTAGGGCCCCCGATTCTCTATTGTGACACATACTCAAATTAATCTGTGAAGTTACATAAGCTCCTACCTGTCAAAGCCCCCATGCCATGGATGTTCATGTCGTGCGTTCAAACCACCTGCCATGGAAGATGCAACAAACCGCGTAGCACAAGGTTTGGGTTGAGAGCATCCCAATAAGCCCGCGCTAGGGGGTTTGCAACCTGCTTGCACATCATGACTTGCCCAAAGAGAGCATGAACATAACACTGCAAATTCCCAAAAGAAAATGAACACAAAACTGCAGACCCTACAAACATCCCCAAAGTTATCCTCAAGTGGACCTGTATCATAGCTTGTTTAGGTGAGCTCGCCAGGTGGCACAGGGCTGCGGCTACGCTCCCGCGACATGGCGGCTCGACAAATCGGCCGACACGAAAAGGCTTCGAAACCTACGAAACAGGGAAAAGCGGGACCAATGCATCCCTGGATCATTGCATCACTTTTGGGATTCAGCCACCTGGTTGAATCCGGGAACGAGGCTAGGCTGCGCAAAAGAAGAGTTGGAACGCTTTGGATCAATGTGCCAAGATTGGGAAGGTGCTCGGCCCTTGAACTTGGCCCGAAACTGGCGTACACAAATAATCACATGTTCAGATTATGCTTCATTGTTTGGGTGCGTGGTTGTTTTGAGGGGACTGTTTTTTGGTGTTACAAGGAAACCCAAGAGGAGAATTGACATCCTTGTTTTTTTTTGAATAAATAAACTGGAGATTTCAGGAGACCTTCTTAAATGTCCAAGGGTCAAGACAGCCCAACCTCCCGGGAAGGGTGGCTCTGGTGGAAGCTTTCTGTGTGACGGAAGCTTCAAATGATTAAGCCAAACATGGAACTTGGTCGCCTTGGTCGCTTGATGTAAATATGCTGCTTCAAAACCGGAAGACTTAGTTCTTTCATTGCGCTTTCCAGCGAGCAGTGCAGCAAGTTGCTCGCTGAACCGGGCCCAAGGGGGCGCTCGGCGCAGTGTCTTCTTTCAGTTGCTGTTCTATCTCGAGCCGTGATGCTGCCAAGACAATGGACGCGTGAAAAGTATCTTGGTCTAATACCCGACTCTTGCCTTCAGTGGCCAAGGGTTCTAGGATCTGGGTTCTTGGAGGAATGCGATTCAGCCCAGAAACGGAGATTGGCCATCAACATACGCGCTTGGGGTGGCTTCAGGCACGTGCTGAATCGGGGTGGCCTCGACATCAGGTTGTTGTTTTTTTCTTTTGCTTTTCCCAACCAAACGGCAGTGAGCGCGTGCCCAACACTTTGGCACGTGCTGTCCAAATGTCCACAGCGCCGGCAAACCCAGGCTAGTAGAAAGTCGCTGAGAATAAGGAGGATCTACTGCGCATGTCCAGCTTTGGGCCTTGGCAACGACTTTCCTGGACCACTCAAAGGGGGCCAATCGAGACACCTCTCAAACTTAGAGGCTAGAGGGGAAAAATATGTATTTGCAGGTCGCTGCAGCCCCACCTGATCACTTGAATGGAGATGCCCCTGCTACAGCGGGTTGGGGACTTTCTGCAACCTCCAAAAACAATTGAAGGGCACTTTGAAACGGGCCTCAAAGAGAGCTTAGTCTCCTTTGATTGCTTGGGTTACAACCTCCTTTTTATACGAACCCCCTAACCTGTACAGTGGATGGACGAAATCTGCTTCGCACTTGGCGGGTCCCAGGGTGGGCGTCCTCCATCAGGCTCTGCGCTTCGGCATCCTGGCGAAGTTGCAAAGGTGCTCAGCGGGGCTGCAGCACATCAACCGCTTTCTTGTGGCACCCTGTTTGACCCTGGGAAGCAAGAAAAGAGTGCAACTCAATTGCTCCGCTGAATGAGCATGGGCTTGCTCCAAAGACCCAGTTGCCCCAAGCAAACTCAAAATCAAATATCTGGATACAAAAAAGAAACAGATAAACAGTCTAGCCACAAAATGTCACCAAACTTGCGGGATTTTGGCCAACACACTGCCCCGTTGATTTCCTCGGCCTCGGCAAACTTCCTGAATTCACGTCTGTCCTTCCCAACCCCTGGCGCGTTGAGCAAAACTGACTCTTGCAGCCCTGAAGGAACTTCGAATCAGAGGCCAAGCAAGCCGTTCATTTGGGTCTTTTGGCTTCTTAAAAGAAACCACAACACCAACAAAACCACCTTGAAGAAACAAAACAGCAACAAACCAAGGTGAACCTTTGACAACAGCTACGGCATAGCCCGCCCCCCCTCCCCCCCGACCCCGCCGACTTCCTCTACAGGCCGGGTGGCCAGGGTTCCAGGTTTCCGAAACTTGCACCACCAAACGGAAACTCGTAGATTGGCAACCAACAATTGCTTGCTGTTGACCCCTCCGCAAAAAAATGCCTTTTTGTGGGTCCAATGGAAAATCCGCTGTTTCCAAAATGTCCAAGGTTTCCAAGCAAATCGCCATAAGGAACAGGAGCTGGTTGCAACCACCTAAAGGGGAAATTTAGGGATGTTTTTTCAGCCAAGTTTTGCCCACCGAAAAACTCGGTCGCCATGACCGCTCAGCGGTTGCAACCGCTGACCTCTGCCGCCAAAAGGCAGGTTGCCACCCTCGACAAATGGAGCGGGTGCAAGCCTTCCATTTGCGTCCAACGAAACATCTGGGCAAATGATTTTTAGGGCCTAAATGAATGGGTTGGTGGGGTAAAGCCAAATTCAGATAGCAATAAGTCACAAACCGGCAAGGGATCCCTAGCAAGGGATCCCCCAGATCCCAGTAACATCGCATTCAGCAAATGGAAGACGTCCGTACGTCAAAGAAATGGCCCGAGATTCCGGGCCCGGACTGGCTGGAAAGCCCAAGCGCCTCTCGGATGAGTTGCACCTCTTGAAAACAAATCACCACACCACGCGTTTTTTGGGGCTGGGGGGGGGGGAGGCCCCCAAACGGGTCAGACTCAAATGGAAAACCAAACGGAAAACAACTACGACGCCCTGCTTTACACCGAGCTTCAGCAGTGCGCTTCTGTTTTTTTGTCCTGTTGCCCTGGGTGCTAACCAGGGGTCGGGGCAAAGTCAAACAGGTTCCCATCTCCTCGTGGTCAATTAAACACTATGGGCTATTTGGCACCCATTGTCCGCTTCCCAGCCAGGTCCTAGGTATCTCTACCTCTAGCACCGGCATGCCACAAGCTGGGCGAGCGGGAAGCGGCGTTCCACACGGACAGCGGCTCGGCTCTCGCTGGGGGGTCTACATGGCTGGAGTGTAACCTTAGGTGTCGCGTGCCTCACGTCCCACTTGTCACGAAGGCATCTTGTGATGGTACCCTCGGGGATTGATCTGGGGTCACATGGAACCCGCATTAAGCGGTCACCCCAGTCCACCTGAAGGTCACCCTTCCGGGCCCTCAGAACCAGGCGAAGAAGGAGGCCGGGCCGTCTTCGTCCGGCTGCTCCGGCAACGCCAGGTCCTCGGAACAACTGCGATCCCCGGCGTTTTGCCGCAGCCTCCCAAGAGGAGTCAAAGCGAGGGCAAGTTGCAAGGGGCTTAAAAGGGAGAATTATGTGCCCTTTGCCTGGTTTGAGTACAACCTCAGTTCGGAAGAAAAGTTCAACCCTACAAATGCCATCCATCTCCCCTGCGCACTACAACCGCAAAACCCGCCATGTTTAGAGGAAGCTCCACTTGAAGGAGATGAGCCGCTTGTTGATTTGCAGGGAGGGAAAAAACCGGGAAAGTACCGAACAAAAAACAAGTTTCCTCCCAAAGCAAAAGGAGCCTTCTCTACTTTTTTGTTTTTTTACGCTTGCGGTAGGCAAGCGTCCGAAGAGTGATTTCTTTGGGAAGGTCAAAGCTTCACAGCCGTGTCGAAAAAACAAGGAAACCCAGCCAAAGCAAACTTGTTGCTTCCAAGAACAGAACCACCTGCCTTTTCGGTTGATTTGAAGGGACATCCACTCAGGACAAAACGGGCGAAACCCATGAGGCAACTAGGGGCAGCAAAATTGCAGGGGGCAGGAGATGTAGCCGGCTGCAGGCAGGTAGACTGATCAAGTTGGACACTGTTTAGCCGCATCATGGTCGAATCCGGGCAGGCAACAAGTTGCGCGGGTGGGGGTACGCTTTTTGGTGTTTCAACTGCCTTTCCCGGCGACCTCTTGGTGTCAACCTTTTGGTGGCTCCAACAAATCCATTCATGTCTTTCCCTGTTTCATCGGAAGCCACCAGGCTGCAGCAAAATGGAAAAGAACCTGGTCCAAACACCTGGATCGTCAATGGGTTGCGCTTGCTGTGTTATACCGGGGAATTCCTGACGAATTCCCATCCTGTCTAGCCTGGACCGGTTCTGGGCAAACCAAAACTACCCATCCCCTTTTGGTTTCCCTTTGGGAAACTTGTCTGATAAAGGTTAGCCGGTGCTCCCTCCGGGGGCATCAGGCCAACTGTTCGGAAGGCGGGCTCCCTGCATCTCCCGTTGCAAACGCACGGCCAAAAGGCGGCTCACATTAAACTGGCGGAGATCAAGGCAATGGTGGGAAGGGCAAGTTTTCTTTGCAAATGAGTCGGTCCATCGGTTCCAGGAGAATGGGACTAACAGGCCGACGGAGGGGGGGTCCTGGCATGTCTCACCCCATTGCTCCATTCAAGGATTGTTAAGGAGATAGCTTGAAAGCGGCTGCGAAGCTGCAATGGGCAATCCTTGCACCCTTCCCCGTTGGAATATACTTTGTATTCCACATGTTCAGCATCCAGCAAAAAGGGTCGAAGGCAAACCTTCCAAACCCCCCGGAGGAAGGACTTTTTAAATGAACCTAACGGCGCCACATGCAGCCATGGTGCCACCGACACCTGCGTGCCGGCGGCTTTCGAGGCGGGGGATGCAGTCGGAAGCTCCAAAATCACATATGGATCTGTCCAAAAATTGGGGAACACTCAAAACTGTGTGGATTCGTTTGGTTCCCCTTTGGCAAGACTTCCCAAAAAGGTCACGCTCAACAGCACGGTACACCCTTGGCATGAACTCCTTCTTCTGGGGTGCTCAATGCTGGCGAGTTTTCAACGGGGCCCATGACAAAGCGCCGCAGTGTTCGGGGTTGCCCAGGGTTGAATATCTCTCTCTCTCTCTACCGTTGCATCCAGTCATGGTTGAATATAGGTCCCCGTAAACATGGCCCCATGCCGAAACTCATCTTCAAATCGCCCGCAGTTCAGGATGCTTGTGGAACGCGTTTAATTCGGCTGCCCGGAAAGGGTCAGTCTTTCTTCTTTCGGGTTCCGCCTTTTGGACACGCCCATCTGCCAAGCTGAACGCGCAACCGGCAGCTTGTGCTCCAGGCTTTCTAGCAACACCCCGAACCCCGGCTCAAAGGCATGACGCCTGGCTGCTTGTGGGGAAGCTGTTGTTCTCAATAAAATAATGACAGGGCAACCAAGTGATCATGGTTAGTGTAACAGTTTACTTGACATTCCAGAAAACATATCGCATGGGGCAGGCAGATCTGTCGCTTGCCCAGCAATTCCGCTACCTAAAGCTTGGCAACGTTCAACTTTCGGACTGCTGGCACAAGCGCAGAAATTTGTAACCCGAACAACGACGTCAAAAGATGTTCTAGACTTTGATGTTGTTCATCTCAAAGGCTCGAAGGCTAGTTGACTTCCTCTTATTTACTTTGAAGCCAGTCAAAAACAAGTTGGCTCCAAAGCAACACCCATTCGAGATACGGCAACTCGCCATCCAGCGATCCCTCGCTGACGACCGGCCGCCCACTTCGGTTCGCCTCGCCGTTCCGCTGAGCCCGCGCCCGGAAGGACTCGCCCTGGCGAAGCCCCGTTCGGCGGGGCTCTGAACCCATGGATGGGGCAACCATTGGGTGCTAAACAGGGGGTCTGCGCAAAGAGCAACAATGCACAAAGCCTTTCTTGAACCTGTTTGGGACTATTTAGCACTCATTGTAAAGCATGGACCCCTCCCTGGCTTGGAATTCCAATCCGGTTGTCCACCATATACAGCAAAACCGTGAACGGCCCAGTCTGTCCGCTGGAACCTGACAGCTATCCTCCTGCAGATTGCCATGACGTCCTAAAACAATCCTCCCTTTGTGCCTGCTTTATGGAGTTGAAAAGAGAGCGAGTTGGAACCGTGCTTCAATTGTTGTGGGAGGGAACAAGGAAGCACAAAGGGTGCAAGGGGAGCTCTGCAAACCCTTCGTTTTGGTTTGCGACATGTGCAATTTAATTAGGGAATGAACTCCGGAAACAAAGAAGAAAGTGATTTGCCCTTGGACCTTTCCCGCTTGTCTTAATCACTGTGCTAACAAGCCTTTACATGCCCAATCCGAAGGGGCTTATTCCCTGAATATCGCTTGCCTGCCCCAAGGATTTTGGCACATTAACTAATGATTGGCTAAATAGGCACATTGCAACTAAAACACTGTCGCACGACCACAACTCACTTCCTGGCTGAACTGGTCAGAACAAACAAGTCCAAACGTTTGCCCAAACTGATCTTCCCAAAAAGCGCCAGGTCGCGAAAATGGAGTGGTTTCCCTTCGGAGTCCGTTTGAAACCTTTCTATGATACGAAAAGCGGGCCATCCCCAAGGAATTTGTTGGCCACTCAAAGAAAGAAACCTGAGCCCTGTTATCCCCATGCGGGTGACATCCTCGAAATCACGCGAAAGCAAGTCCCCAAAGCAAAAGTATGCAAAAGTTCGAGAACCCCAAATGAGGTAACCCACTTCCCACCAATTCTCCGTTGCAGGGTTGGGCCACCTAGTTCACATGTTCAAACCACTGTTCTTTAGAAAGCCACCTGCTTCTTTCATTTCAAAGGGATCAGAGCTTTACACAACCTCCTTTTGGTTCCCGTTGAAGGCGACATTTACGCCTCCTTCTGGTTTCCCTTCAATCCAAAGGACCATGGCCTGGTCATTTCACAAAAATGTCGCACGAGCTGACGCCCTCACCTTGGACAGCGCTGGGCGGTGCATGACCCCATCCAGGCGCAGCTGGTGTCCGTCGTAGCGGATCATCTGGTGCAGGCCTCGGGGCGAAGGGCTCCCCCCCCGTCCCATCGCTGCCGTGGGGCTTTTTGGCTCTTTAAACGTGGTTGGACCCTCTGGTGAACATCAGATTTGGAAGTGGTGCCTTATTAAACTAAAGAAGTTTATAGCCACAACACCAAGCTAACACCTACCTCCGAAGCCGTTCCCAGAGCGGAATGCCAAGCGGGACACCAGCAGAGCACCGCCGAGACACACCAGAATACCACAAGACAGGCACCGCAGTCAGCAGTCAGGCAGGCTTTCTTTGGCTATCGCCCCCAGCAGAACTAACATGGAACCCAAAATTATTTATGTTTAGAGGAACCTGGTTTGGGGGACCCCCTCTTTGGGATGCGAGGGAACTCATGACGAAGTATGGGACAAGCCTAGTTCAAGCTCAGTGAGACTCGGCCCAGCCACGGTTCCGCCGCAGCCATTGCACCCACACCGAGGACGCCTCAGCTCTGGTCTCCACTTGGACACAAATCCGTACGCGGGGCTCCACACCCGCTGATGGTGGGGCATATGAAGTTGCATTTTTGTAGATAGGCAGCTTTACACAAGGTCCTCAACCCTGTTTTCCCCAAAAGGAAAGTAACTTTCCATGACCATGCAAGAACATATCCACATTGAACTGCCCCGAGCCGTACTTGGCGGGCCACATCCCCCTTCCTCTCCGGCTTCTCGTCGTCCTCTTCCTCATCCTCTTCCTCCTGGCGCCAACACGGGCGTCCTTTTGTGGCTAGATCCTCCAGAAGAGAGGTTAGAATAAGGGTACCCAATTTTTTCCGTAGTCGATTTTAGTAGGGAAATGCGAAAAAGGGTAAAAGGGCACTACTGGGAGGGTGCTTAACGGACAGGCACCAAAAGCACCTCCAAACATGGCAGCCTTTGGGTTGGTTAGGGGGAAACAGCAGAAACCAGACGTAGAGACAAGCCCCAAATTTGCAGGCAAATAGAGTAGGATACACCGTAAATTTGCTTGACACATGCAAAACCGGTTAAAACAGCTCATGCATGTCAAAGGTGTGCGTGGTAGGCATGTTTTTTGTAAAGTTCACGCTTGTCACCAGTGTTGCGTTGGATAAATAAATAAACCACCAAACAAGCGGGGGCGGGGCAGGGGTGGGGGGTGCTTCCCCCAAGAAGCGAAGGACCTCTTAAACCGGACGCCCCCCAGTCAATTAGGTGTGTATCAATCCTGGGTTCCCATTTGCCACGGATACATATTGGCCATACTGAAAACCACGTCCTTGCTTGCTCTCTGTTTCAACGGTAACCAGCTCATGCAACCATGATCGGACACAACAGCTTCCAGCTACCACCATGTGAAGGGCTGGCCACACTGAGGGGCGTTCGCTTTTCAAGAGTCGGCCCAGCAAACATGTCTGTTTTGCCTCCGGCTCGGGCGCCATCATCTCCCCGGGCGCAGGCTGATGGATGAGGCGGCGCCCTGGGTTCCCGAGATACAAGTACCAGCCCAGCCTGGACCACATCTCCAAAGGCATGAAGTGAGTACCCGGGGAAAATTGGAATCATACCCAAGAGGGCCGTTGCCAACAACTTGATTTTCAAAGAGTTGCTTTCCACGCGCGGCAACCTCTAATACTCCCTGTGAATAGGAACTTTAGCCCTGATGGAAACCAAGGAGACCGTCCACCAAATGTCCAACTTGAGACTTGGTCATCTTTCGTTCAGAACCGTTCAACCGGATTTGGTTGCACGCGACCAACCTCCCAGCCGAATGGCGTCACAGGTTCCAAGTCCAAGCTGCTTAAAGACTCGTCGAAGGGCACGCACTCTGTCTTGATGACCTGGGCGGGATCGAGACTACCTAGCCCTGAAGAGGAATCGAAGCATGGCATTGCACATCTCACCTCGGGAAATCTCTCTTTGGAGAGGGACAGTGGCAACCACTGCACCAACATGATCAAGCACAGTTGGGTGCCCGTGTTGAATGGATGCACATGTCCTTTCATGTTGGCAAGGAATAAATCCAATCCGAACCGGATTCAGTGGTGTCATCCACTTGCACCCTAAGCCCAAGTTGGTGCCGGAACGGCCTGAGAACCATGTGAAGGAGCAACTGTTACCCATTGCTACCAAAATTCCAAAAGAGAAGATGGAACCCTCAAAAGGATTCCAGGGGTCACCCTCCCCCACTTCCATTTCTCATGCTCCTTGTCCCACCTAATCACCTGACCAAAGGGTTGGGAGAAACTCAACCTTAGCCCAAAAGGTGATGTTGCAACCACCCAAAATCAGATGTGTGTGTGTGTGTGTCACTGTGTGTGTCTTTGTTTGTTTATTTCAGCGCATCCTTTTCAAAGTGGATTCAAGGGAAGCCAAAAAGAAAACACACCTTTTGGGGCTACACCTACTTTGACTCATATCCAGCTCCCCCCATTTGTTAACAAGCTCGGCTTCCGGCGTCCTCGCTGTTCGTCACCAGAAACCTGGCAGGCGAGTCTGAAACCGACCGCCTTTGATCTTTCACCTTGGGTCAAACTTCGAACCAAAACGCGAAGTCGAGCTGTCTTAGGTATCGCTATGTGTCAAAATTCGGGGACCGACCCCTCATTCACGAGTGCAGTGCAAACAAAAAGAGAGCTTGCAACGAAGTGTTTTTCATATGTAGGCGTGCGCCCTCGGGTAACACCACGACCCACTGGCTCCCTCTTGGTGTTGTGAATGGTTGGCTCCTTTGCAGCACCGAAAACGCACAGTGGAGGGCACCTGATTGCTACCCCCAATAGCGGGGTTGATGGTCGGTTGGTCATTCCAGGTTTCTGGGTTGTTCTTTGCTTCGGCATGTTCACCTTCCAAGTGCTCAACTGCTCAGAATATTTCGTTGGTTGTGCGTTATGTTGAGGATACCCTTTGCAGGTTGGTTGACGGGGAACAAAAACCACCCGAATATAAGGAGTCTCCAGTTGGGGATCGGACCCTTCGCTTTCCTTTCCTCAATGGCAAGACGCACGCCACCATATGAGGATGTGTCACAACTAGTGAAGAGGCCTGAGTAGATGTCACAAACAGCCGCCATGATTGGCGGGGGTAGCCTGCGATAAGGGACGCCAAGACTGTCTGGCTTCATTTGCGTTTCTCTCCTTCGGCACCATGGGTCCCAAATAATAACAAGCGCATGTTGGTTGCTAAGTGCGCATTCAGTCTGATGTAGAAAACGGGCCAAACAAAAGAAACCACAAAGGAGCTGCTTGAAACTACAGCTTCAAGGGGAGAGGTTCGAACCTTGAAGGGCAACGTGCCTTTGGGCCAGTTCGAGAAAGCCACACAACCCCACACCAGAACACAACTTATGCCCCCAAGCATTGAACCATTCAAAGCGTTTGTAAGGTATGAACCCTCTTTAAGGATTACACGGCAACACGGAACTGCAATATTGGATCCTTCCAAGAACCATCAAGTTGGAGCTCGAAAATAAGATGCCCAAATAGGGGGACAACCCCCCTGTTTTTCCTGATCTGGCTGTTGAACAACGGGCTTGGGAAAGAATACAGCTAGAATACCCTTTGGATTTCTTTAGGGACAACTAAAACAAATGTGGGTGTATGTGTTTTCTTTCTAATTAAGGACCCTATGTTGCACCCAAGCCTTTGGTCACCGGCCTTCCTGAGCCCTGGACTTCAGTTCCGCGGACGTCCCGTTCCTTTGCTCCCGCAAGGCGAGACTCTTCGTAAGAGGCCTCTACAACATGGCGTTCCCCTTCGGTTCCGCTTCCAATGGACCCCCCACAAAAAAAAAAAAAACAGCCGCCCGCCTGCGGTTCACCAGCAGTGCTGCGGGCAGGCGCTTCAGCATGGCTGACAACGAGAAGGTGATGGCGCGGCAGTTCCGCTCACCTCAGGCCACAAGGCGTAGAGTCGTAGAGGTCTTCCGGGTCCCCCTGTGCCCAAGGCTAAACGTTCGAGTCTTCCGGGGGCCAGCTTGCCAGCAAATTCTTTCTGCGATTCAATACCCATCCAAACACCAGCACCCGACCCCAATAGGAATCCTGGCTACCAGCTGCGTGTAGACCATGCCCCTGTTTCGTCGAACATAAGGTTTGGCCACCTGTTGACCGTTATGATGGTCTACCGAAACTCTGTTCACTTCCCGGGTGTCAAGTAGAGGGTCTTGCAAAAAAAAACAGTCATTGCATCCCGTTTTGGCTCTCGAAACATTTCCCATCGACGGTAGCTATTCAGCAGCCAGGACATTGCAACGAAAAGTTCCTCCTCACCGGGGTGACGTTTAACAATGGGCTTGCAAAAGCTGGACAAACAAATGCCCATCCCCATTTGCCTTCAAAAAGAAGGCATCCTTGTTCCAAAGCCATGAGGCAGGCTGCAAACGAAAGGGGTATGTGCCTTAGTGGGGATTGAAAGCCCAAAGCTGAAAATTTATTGGCATGTATTACCCATGTATCAGGCTATGTAGCGGCTTTTCGCTTGGAAGTAGCCTCGGTGTGTTCGATTGTTGTAAAGCCTTAAAGTAGGAATCCAAGTAAAGGAAGTACGTCACGGCGATGTCAGTTAATCATATCAAAAGCAGTACCACCCCCTTGCCCAGGCAAACATAGATAGAAGGGCTTAGCATCCGTTTACTCAATCGAAGATTAGCACCGGGAGCTCCCCCAACCGTTTTACCCCCGAACCGGTGAGCTCGCCAACAAGGGCATCATAGTTAATTCCTTTCGCGATTGACATGGGGCTACTGCCTGCGCGCCTGCGGGCCTGCGGGGTTCGGGACATGTGTCCCCAATGAGGTTAGTGAGCAACGGCTTCCTTGGAATTTCCCTAATCCAGAGAAAGGGGACGCCAAAAGACGAGCCCGCTTCGGTCGCAGCCGTCTCCTTTCAGTCCCGGGTGC